AAATATTTTTAAAGTTATAAGAGTTTAAAATTTAGGATGGGAGGGGAAGTGCGTTTGGGAAATGCGTGCAAATAAAAATAATACTACACTTCACCTTTCCTCCTGCACTAAACTTGAAACTTAAAACAATAACTGCAAAAATAGTTACCCGAAACTGGTTATCGACCAGTCAAAATTTGTAGTACATTATTCTCAATTTAAAAAGTTAATGAAATTATGATTTACCATTTAAGTTTTAAAAGTTGATATAAAAATAATTAGTTTAATTAGCAAACATTTATTCATAGTCCATTACAAAGTATATAAAATAAATAATTATACAAAATATATAAAAACTAATGAATTTTAGATTGGATTTTCGAAAATAGTTTATCTGATATGTTCTAATTTACAATGAGGCAAACTTATTTTTTAATTACTTTGTTTGAGTACTAAACTTCATATTGTGTTGAGTTGATTTATTTTACTTTGTTTGTCTTTTGAATATTTTATTAAATATTTATCGGAGACAGGGTAGATGATTTTTAGACGTCAGTTGCTTTAAACTTTTAATTAATTTAAACTTTCACTAAACAAAAGCACAATGTTTGTAAACTCTTGTATTTGATTTGGCTACAGCAAACAAAGCAGTGTTGTATTTTCTAGTGTTTTTCTAGTAGTTAAGTATAAACTTTCAAGTTAAAATACCATATTATTGTAAATTAACTAAAAATATGAATATAATATACTAATGTTAGCAGTAACCCAAACTGATAAAATATTATTATAAATGATTATATGGTTTAAACTAAACTCATTCCAGGGTAGCAGTATAGTAATTAATCATTATCTTTTCCTGTTATGTTATGGAAGAAGTATGTCATCTTTTGTCTAGATAAAATGATAATGTATTTTATTATTTTTCATATACCAAGTCGGTTCCACTAAAAATATTATAACACCATATAAAAGTTGAAAAATTATTTATATTATATATTTATCAATATTTTAAACATTATACTGTATTGCAAAAGTATTTAATTCTATTATTTCTAATTAATTTTATGTTTACTTTTAACAAATAAAATAATAGATACCTTCTAAAAACTCTACCTAATATTTTACAAAGCTCTTAAATTATTATAGCTATATTCTTGTTAATGAGTTATATTTTTATGTTCCTAACGTTAAAAAATTCTATCTTATAAACAATTCAAATGTAAGTTTTTTTATAAATTAAATAACTATATTATACTCAATTTAATCGTTTAATCGTTTTTTTAAATTAATACAGCTGTTTCACAGAACTTAAAAATAATTAATACAATTTCAATACAATTATTACTAGTAAAGAATCCAGAGGGGAGTTAGGTGTTACCCCCTATCCAAAAATAACTTGTCCACGTAAAAACAGTTTGTCAAATATAAAATTTATATTTTTTCTAGTAACGCTACCCAAAAAATATGTCTGTGTTACACAAAATTTTAACTAAAAAGTGACTTCTAACGTTACTAAAACATAGTATTAGTAACTAACATCCAACACAGCTGTAAACCTTAGAGCCTTAAATAACCTAAATCACTATAATTTTCACTCATTAAAAAATATATTTCTTAAAATTAAAACTGAATACAAAAAGTAACATTGATACATCATTCCTAATGAACCCACTGCACTGTGGTAATACAGTACTCTTCTGATTTTTTTAATTAATTGAACTGATTAATTTACATAATACATAAGTTAACATACTTCGGCTACTCAATATGGAATCTTTGAACGCCAAAATAGTATATATATACAGGGTGAGCCACTTATCGTTAACCACTCAATATCTCATAGGGTTTAATAAGATATTACAATTTTTTTTCCATATTTTTTTTATACAATTTGATCTCATTTTTAACAATTTTTTTTTGTTTTTACCCCTCTCCCAATTTAGTTTTTTTGATAGCAACTTTTTAAACTTAAATGGTAACGTATATATTTTATTAACTTTTTAAATTGAGAATAATGTATTAAAATTGTTGACTGGTCGACAACTAGTTTAGGATAACTATTTTTGAAGTTATAAGAGTTACAAGTTTAAGGCAGAAGGAAAGGTGGAGTATAGTATTGTTTTTATCTGCACGCATTTCCCAAACGCACTTTCCCTCACATCCTAACTTTAAAACTCTTATAACCTTAGTACATTATTCTCAATTTAAAAAGTCAATAAAAGATAAACGTTACCATTAAAGTTTAAAAAGTTTCTATCAAAAAAACTAAGTTGGAAGGGGGTAAAAACAAAAAAAATTGTGAAAAATTGAGATGACATTGTATAAAAACAATATGAAAAAAAAATTGTAATTTCTTATTAAACCCTATGAGATATTGAGTGGTTTACGATAAGTATACATTTATATATACTATCTCAATATTAAATAAACATAATAATTTATAATTTTGGAAACATAAAATCCTGAAACGTCTAATGCCTAAAAAAGTAGTGGTTATAACATTGTTATAAATAATTTCTTTGTTGAATAAATGAACTCTTAACTGTATTGTGTCGCACTACTTGGTTAAATTGTAGGAATGTATACTGTACAATATGTATCTATTTATTTATGTATAATAAACGGGTAATGACCCTTATATGTTAGCAATATAAGGTTTACATTTTTAAGTATTTTACAGTAACAATAAGAACTAAAATTAAAACAAAAATAATGAAAATACGGATACAAAATAGTAATAATTAGACAACGGTAAATGATAATAGTAACAAAGAAATAACACTAAATCAATAATAACATATTAATGGTAAATGGTTACTTAATTTACAATGAGTTTAAGGCTAAATATACATTTCTATTAAAAACAATACGTGGCAATATAATATATGTGTTACTAATAATTTAATAGAAAATGAGGTTAATAATTACGTTTTAGCCCAGTTTGATGTCTGTGATAATTGTGATTAATATCCTAGCAGTTACCTAAACTTATTTTAGTAGCAACTTATTAATACAAAAATACTTACTCCGGTCACTCATTTATTTATAAGAATAAGTTTAAAACTATTGAAATAAAACTATCATAAAAGCAATTTGCCACGTTTAGGTTTTCGCGCCACATAAAGTATTTCTATGCAATAAACGCTTTGGCCCGAAGGCTTGACGCAATTTAGACTTTAAAAGGCTTATGGATTGGATCCCTGCAATTCGTGTTTGGTTATTATTATTATTATTGTTATTATTATTATTATTATTGTTACTATTATTATTATCATAACGTGATTGCTAATATATGGTATACTGTTTGGGAAACTTGGAAGTATCTTGAACGTGACACGCACAGTCAATAGTTTTTTGCAGAAATTTGGATACAGGTCACGATCGACTAAAGGCTTGATTCCTTCATACAAACATAAACACAGGCTCATCCTACATTCGGTTTTGTGGTCAGGGCGCTTGGCTTGTGTTTGCTTTTAACATAAGCTCCGGGGTTAATTGTATCTTACCCTGCCACATTGTGAATTCCTGGTAGGGGTGAGACAACCACTATAGAAAACCTGTTAATTAATTTTAGGATAAAGAGTGTTTATTTTTGACAGTTACTGGACAAGTACGACCGAGCTTAAAGCTCGTTTGATCCCCTTGTGGCTCTTAAAAAAATAATAAAAAGATAAAATACTCAAAGTACCTTATTGCAGCTTTCTGCTTTTTTTAGGTAGATACATATTGATTTGCTTACCTCGGGTAAACATTTTGGCCAGCATTTTCTAAAGACTAATCCCTTTGACCTGGTCACAATATCAGAAGGAAAATGTTCTAAAAAAACTCGTAGGTAATAACTCCGTAGGGCTACAACTACTAAATAAATATCTACCTATTGTAAAAAAATCGTGCGGTACAGCTAAATACAGGCCGTTGGAACACTTCATAAACCCATTGAAACAATATTAACGCAGTGTTTTATAAATAATTATACAAAACAATACCTTTTCTGAATTCGTGATCGCGGCTTTTACACAAGAGGATAATAATTTATAATAAAAACGGCTTGATTCAGAATCGCCTGTATTCCCTATCTAAGTATCTCAGATTATTTTCATTTTTTTTCAACGGAAGTCACTCTATAGATAGCTTTGACCTGGTTAATAAATAATATATTCCATCTATTAGGCTATACCATCATAAAAATATACCATAAAATAAATTTAAAAAATCCTATAAAAAAAATGTGTATTATTTAATAACAACTAAATTGATTATTAATTTCAAATAACGATGAAATTTATTACTATTCAGCATACGCCCAGGCTAGATAATATACAATCACACTATAGTTATATATATATATATATGTATAGTTTCTACATGTGCATAAAATTTACAATAAAAAGTTGCTTATTTATTATGTCATTTTTAGACTTTAGAACCAATAGCCTAAAATTGAATTTGTATTCCATTGAAGTCGCTTGTATTTTATATGTTTTTCGCAGTAGAGTATACTGGTATTACAATAACAGCTTGATTTGTTACTTAACGCATTATATTGTTGAAAATTAAAATTGCTGGACCGATATTTCTATCATTACGTTTATCAACCAGAAATTATATTATTTCAGGTAGTAATGCAAACGTAAATAAACAAAAAATGAGAAACGGTTAAAATATAGGTAATTAAAGTAGGGTGATAATAATTGAGCAAATCAGTGGTCATTACCAAGAAATCCCTGTCATAGTCAGTCCTATTGTCACTCGTTTTACACACATGTCATAGAAATTTAATTATATTATAATTCTGAGAAAGTTTATAAAACATATTTACATTCAACAATTTAAACCGTTATTTATTTATTTATTTATTTATCATTACTGATTTAAATAATTTACTGGATACAAAAAATATTATTTTTGGCTAGTACGATGTATATACATTTTGAACTCGATAAGCACTTGACACTAACATAAATAATGATTTATATTTTAAGTAAAATTACTCTAATTAATTTATTACTATATTATTTCAGGTCATAATACTGATCACGATAGTAATGGTAACGAGCAATGTCCATTTTCCGCCAGAAACTACTTTACGCCTAGCCCAAAATTATAAGACTTATAGATGCCTAAGTATATATTAAACGTAAAAATAATATATTGTAGCCTAAAGTGTTTATATTTAATTATTTAAAATAGAATAAATAATGATGTGCATTGTGTATAATTTATGTTCGATTTGACCTATTTGTACAGAAAATATTGTTAATTTATAATACAGATATTCTTTAAATATTCTTAGCTTATATGCGTTTAAAAAAAATTACATATTAATATTATTACAACAAACGGTATGGCTATGATAGTTGTAAGTTCTTTAAAAATATTTAAAAACTATATACATAAGTTAAACTATAGAAAAAAAATGTTTTGTGTAGTTATATAATATCTATTTAAGAAAAAAAAAATATTATAATAATTATTACTTATTAATGTTATATTATTTTATATGTGCTTATCAATATGTATTGTAGTAGTTTTATAATGTTTAATTAGTTTTTTTAAGAAAATTTGTTTGTGTCATGCAATACATGTATTGAGCCCATGTGTATTGTGTCACACAAACAACGTTTAATTTAATATGATGTATCCTCGCCTGAATTTTTGTTTCCAAAGCACAGCATTTACCCTGTTCATGTATATTTAATTGAATAAATAACATCAACTGTAGTTTTCAATTCACCAAAAACACCTATGTACGTAATATGTTTTTCTTATTTTGATAATCATTGCCATCCCGGGATACACTATATGCTTCCTTCATGGATAGTCTAGTGACTGTGATGGATTGTTTTTGAAATGCCTCGTGTGTGATAGACTATGTCTGTGGTAGTAGATAGAATATCGGTTTACAAGTATCTCATCATTAATTATATAATTCGGTTCTAAGACTTCATTATCTGCGTGTGAGTAATGGCAACTTCCAAGTTTGACCCTTCATACAAGTTAAATTAAAAAAATACACTAATATATTATATTACATTTCACAAGATCACTTGTGATCACAGTTTCACAAGTTCAACGATATTTTACAAATTGCATTTAAAAATATGTTTAGCCGGCTTTGAATTTGAGTATAGTTTAATAACAAAAACAAAATATTTTAGACTTATAATTGTATGAGTTTTACATAGATTTGAAGAATAGGCATTTAATGTCGTTAACATATCTATTATATAAAATGCAAGAGTGTAAATCTTGGTATTTATGTACTGCAAACGTCCAATGCCATATTTTAAAGTGTACCACAAAGCGTGTTACTTATTTTTTTTATAATTAACTTAAGAGCTTAACGACTATATTTTTACCCAAACCATTCGTCCATTAGTAAAATTAGCGCTCGTATCGTTTTAAATCCGTATTATACATGTATCTTGTACGAAAAAACACTGATGAGATATTTTTGTTAATACAAGGTAATATTATACATTACAACTTAATACTCATAATCATACAATTTTATTGTAGTTTTTTTAAAATACTATCAATTATCAAAAATGTTTATTTGAAAAAAAACCAACACAGCAAGTGACAAAAACCAATATTTCTCAACATATATTCAAAATACAATAGAAACCATCTCATGATGACAGCGTTGGGCCTTCATGGCCCGTTAAGCAACAAAAAAAAAAAAAAAAAAATTCAAAATACAATAAAAAGTAATTATAATATATGTCAAAGTGATTGATTTTGTGTTTTTACTTTTGCGGTCAAAATAATTGTAAAAACATTCATTTTTTATCCCTAACAAAAAATAAGAAGTTAGTAGCTTAATATCTTATTAAAGCTGTTATCATATACAGAACGACACGAACAAGTTAGAAATAATTATACCTTTCATATTGAGTACCCTTAAAGAGTTTGCATTTGAAATGATAAACACAAATTATTTATACTTATTTATAATCTTAAAACTACCGATTGAACTCGATGCATTTATTTCCAGGGTTTTACTTTTTAGGACTTGCTAAACAAAATAGTAGGCACCTATGAGATAAATACAAACTCAAAAAACTGTAGCTTTTTAATTCCTTTGATGTCCCTTGCATAAATCTAATATAAAACTTATTACTAAAAATTTGAAATACTTTTATAGTATAAAAAAAAGATTTATAACGTGGAATTTATGCGTGTTTCCGATAAAAGCTTTTAACATTAAATCGTATTACGGTACCTTTTTTAGAAGCCATTACTGTCTTGCATTAAAAAAATCAATATTTGATAACTGTGAATTTTTTGTATGATGCAATCTAAAAAGTAAATTTACTTTTAGTACAATAACTCGATATCTATTATACCATATTATTATTATTTTGAGTAACGCCAACTACATCAAATACTCAGACTCTGGCCATAGTCTTAAAGTTAATATTTGATAGGCCAGATTAGAGCATGAGAAACACAACTTATGTTAAATGTTCGGTAAAGGCTAAACCCCAGCTGAGTATCAAATTATAAATATTTAATTCTAAGATTTGCAATGCGAATTTCAAGACAATAACAAAAAGAATGTGCATGACGTAATTTGCACAAATCAATTAGTAAATTTTCTTAAACAAGAACTAGTTTTAAAAACAAAAGACACAATAATTAAATTATAAAAATGTTATTTATGAGTTTATTTTTTATGGTCAACATACATATATAAAATTAAAATTAATTTTACTTATTCTGTTACAAGGTTGTTTTTATTTTTTTCCTGTTCGTAGAAACTGGTGCGTATACCCGGCTAAATTAAAGTATGTTACACCATGCATCAAACTGGTGTTCTAAATATCTATTTTTCCACTGATTGTATAAAAAACGACGATTGGACCAGGTCTTATAGTACCTAGCAGCAAATAAAATGAGAAAGGATATTTAATTTAATAAACCAAATATATTAAAATTTAAAATTAATCTCATCCGGATAATCCCAACCGCATTTCTTTATTTCATTAAACATAACGATTCATCTCGTCGTGGCCGAAAGGGTTACCACGGCAGTGTTTCTATGCACTAGCCGTGGTTCGAATCTCGGTAACTGGCCGTTTCTCTAGCTAAGCGGGCAACCACCTGGAGAAAAAAATGGCAACCCGACTGGTGTGGAAGGCAACTGGAAACCACCGGCATTATAACCACTTACCCAGGATGGAAACTCTTGCCCTATTAGAGACAAGTAGAGCAAGAGTTGTCCAAACCGACCTAACAGGTCGTAGACTAAAAAAAAAAATTCAACTACATATAAAATGTTGTAACCTATAGCCACAGTTCTCAATAAGTCAAATGACCCGTTCCGGATAGCGAATTCGTCAAGAAACCATGTCATGGTGGCAGCGTTGGGCCTTCATGACCTGTTAAGTCGATTATATGATGATAATGATGACGATGATAAAGTGTTTTAAAACTTGTATGTATAATTTTTATCTAACACAGCGTTCTATTTATTAATTTTGTATACAAGTGAAGAATTTTAACATTGAATCTTATGAGTAATATTATCTAGTACCTACATGAATGTACAAGATAATTAATTCAATGTTTATGGTTTTAGCTAACTAAAACAGAGACTTTAGAAAGTATTTTCTATCGCTTTGAATGTATACTAAAAGATATCTAAAGAAAAACGATGAATTGGTCCGCAGTAATGCGCGATGGGAACATGTAACAGAGAACGATAGTTTACTATATACCTTTTGTACAGATAGACAAATTGTCCCATGTTCTAAGTAGACCGTACTCGTTTAGATCTCCGATTTCTATAATATTCAGTTCGCTTTTGAAATACTATACACGTGGCTCAATTTGTTTTCCTACCTAGTACCATTCCCGCGACATTTTATAGACAAACACGTGCTGTATAAAACATTATACTATGGAGTGTGGGATGTAGTATATTATGAAGCAGAACTGAGAAGTTTATTATTAAAAATAAAATGTTTGGAAATGTTGGTTTTAAAACATTGTAATTATCAAATTTTATTTGTTAAAATAATCTTTGATTGTTTATTTTTACGTTTTGTTAAATAACAAAAAAAAAAATAACAATAATAATAATTATTGTATTTAGTAAACTAAGTAGAAAGAAGAGAAAGATAAAGACATAGGAGAGGGTTATTAAGCTAGCTAGGAGTGTACGTGGACAAAAATGTGACGGAACGATGGCTATTCCCCTACTTCACATGGGATTGCGACAGCCATATCATTTTAACTGTCTGTAAACAAAATTATACCCCCTCATAACCGCGGTCGATGACGTGTGGACACCGAATACTCGCGCTATGCAACAAACCCTGTTTTTACAGATCCGAGTACAGTTTATATTGGCTGTCAAGCACGGTGTTCCACTCTGTACATGAAAGAAAGCACGAGTATTCTTGATAATAATAAATAATAATTATTATAAATCTATATATATAAATAAGAAAATTGACGTCACTCCAATAAGTTTTGTCGTTTCTTTCAGTTAAAATTTAATTTGTATTTTTCTGCACAAAACTGTTCCGGATTTATAAAGTTTCAATTATCAGGTACACTTAGGTACACGATAAGAAAAGATAAATTCATATTATATTTTTAGTTTTTTTACCTTTTAAACGAAAAACGTGAGTTAAAATAATAAACTGAAATTGTAAAAAAAGTCAGTACAGTGGAGACGGGGGAGGTTACAAGTCTACAAGAATTATTATACAACTAAAAGTGATAAAATCACTTTTAAATAAACGCTTCTGTGCGTATCTGAGGATAGTAAGAATCAGGCACTGTTCAAACCAAGTGTCTAAACCAGCGTAAGAAAGTACCAAAGTGCTGGTTTATACTGTGATTGGTTTGGATTGTACTTGGTTTGAAATGTGCAACACAAATCATATTCAAACCAGTCCAGAATATTTTCCAAAAATGCCAATTTTTTAAACTTAAGAATAAAAATTGAATGGTTTACTAGAGCAAAAGTCTTTTGTAAGATTGTATAAAAAAACTTCTATTTGAAGACATGAAAGTGATGGAAAAAAAAAGTTTTTCAGTCGAGTCTGCAACCACGAAAGAGCATATTCATGTCTCGTAGAAGTACCAAATACAATTAGAGTAGTGGAATTATAGATAATGATATAGTATATTAACAAGCAGTAACAAGCTAGTATCTAAGGTGGCTAGTATATTAAAACATCAAGTTTCTGGCTAATATAGTAGTTTTTAATATCTGGCTTAAAACAATTCATATAGAGAATTTGGGCCCTTAAACTATTTTGAATTTATCATCTAGTTCTAATTTGAACATTGAACGTACAACATATCTCTTATCTCTTATCAGATAACAGCGTAACACTTTTTTCGGTTATGTGCCAGAGCTAATTTCCACCCCCAACCCCATTCTCACCCCCAAACCCATTCTTACCCCCACCCTCAACCCATTTCTTGTAAGCTTTAACATGTTTAAGATAAATTAATATTCTTAAACGCTACGTTTTAGTTGTATTAAAGAAAAAAGAAACATATAAGAATGTTAAAATTATATGAAGATACGGGGAAGGGGAAATAGTATAGAAAAGAGAACTAGAAGTAAGGTACCAATGTCTAAAAAATATGTTGGTTCGTACTAGAAATTTCTAATTAGCTAGACAAATATTTTATACATAATAAACAATAGAAATAATATATTAATAAATAAATTAAGCGCATAGTTACTCCTAAAAAAAATTTAAATCATAAGACCGTCCCCCTAATGGGGTAAGGAGTTGTAATTATTTAAATTTTTTAAACTATTGTTCGATTTAAATATGCTTACTAATGTCCCGTAAATGTTGACTCCATGTGAAATTCTTTACAAAACTATAGCGCTTCAAAGTTAAAAGTTTCAAAAAAATGTGTGGACTATATCCTAAATTAAGCAATAAGTATAGATTTTTTAACTCAAGTTACCCTCTTCTATCAGTAAAATTGGTCTGTCGGCTCTAATGATGTACATTATAAATATAGCACAAAAAAACATTATTGTATAACTTTTATAAAAAAATAAATACAAATTATATCTGAAACTCCTAAACTCAATAACATGGTAAAACACCATAGTATAAAATAGTCCGCGAAAGAGTTTTAAATTCGTGATGTAGAATGTTTGTTTTAAAACCCAAGTGATGGTTAGTTCTTGTGTTTATAAATAAACGGGGTAAGCTAATTTAATGCGCTATAAAAATAATAATTGTTTTTGTAAATGTGGCAACAATTTAAACAACCATCATGTATAAATATTTGTGTTATTGTTGTGTTTATATCATAATACAATTACATGTACAAAATAATACAGTGTTTAAATCATTATACTGACAGCTACGCGATTAACTGCAAAATATATTATCAGGATACACATTTTGTTGGACAATTAAAACAATTTAATTTGTACTCCTATCATACGTAATTTGAAGTAAAAAACCCCATTTTCATAGAAAAATAATTTGGACAAAAGTTGTTAATATTGTAAAAATATACAATTTTTTATAAGATTACATTAAAAACAAAACTAATAACTTATTTTATAATATATTTTATTTTGTAGCGTTGAAGCTAATTAATTCGTGAGAAAGAAAATTTTAAAACATACTATTCGCACGGTTCAATGGAACTATTTAGTAGCAATGTGCTAGCCAATTTACATTTAATAAAAGAAAATTGTGTAAAAGTATGAAATGGCTGATGACATTGTTGATCAAATTCACATAATTTGAATGGCTGTAACAAAAATATAAAGACTAAGAAACAACCATTAATTCAACTATTGCAAATCGTATAAAGATTTTACGATTTTGAACATATGCTGTAGGTACAATAAAAAAAAGTATCTAATACAAATCAACGGAGGTAACCGATAAGCTGCTAATGTCAAGTAAAGTCTAAAAGCTTTTTGTATCAAATAAGAAAGAGATAAAACCATCAACATGATTGTAATCGATACTTGAATTAAATCGAATGAAGACCGTTTGGGTTTTAAATTCTCTTACCTGACAACTTATTTATGCAACAGCATATCGAGTAAAAGCCTTATTTTGTATTATATGCTCATTTCACAATCATGCTATGATGATGTCATCGTTATAATTTGGCAAAGTTTGTTCTTGCGTATTTCACACAAGAATAAAATAGCTCTTTACTTGATTAGTTTTAATTTAACGTCTCTTTTTATTTAATAAATACAATAATCAAGCGTGGGTGAGCATAGATGGACACGTATATATATATATATATATATATATATACAGGGTGATTCATTAAGGATAAGACACTCATTTTCTTGGAATATATTAATATTTTGAACAATATTTTTTTCCAAGATTTTTGGTACACATTGTACTATATTTTTCAGTATTTTGAAAATTTATATCACTCATCCTTAAAGGCCAAAAAGGGGGATTTTAGTTTTTTTTAAATGGCACCATATGTTTTTAATTACATACATTTGTAGACAAAAAATAAAAAAATATTTTAGCATTTGAATTTTGAATTTTTATTTAGGGGGTCGGAAAACTCAAGTATACACAGTCGGCACATTCGGACAAAAAGTCGGTAAATATCATAACCCCCATAAAATTATACAAATAATATATTTATTTTTTTATTTTATAAAAGTAGGTAGGTACATAATTTTTATTGAAATCTGGCGACTGAATAGTAAATAGTCTGCATACGGACGACCATACAAAAATATAATTTTAGTTTTGGGTATAAAAAAAAATAATACATTTTCGGTTATTCCCGATTTTAGCAGAAGTATTATTATTTGATTATAATAACTGTGGTGTATATTATATCAAACTATGTTCGGTCATGGGACCTATTGGTCTATTGTAAGCAAACATTCTATCCATCTATAAGTATATATTTTTATTTTCATCAATCCGATCGACTTTGAAAAGATATTACATTTCCTCCTATTTCTTAGGTTGTCCAAAAAAACAGTGGCCGTCGTTATCTCGGTTAAATTGCAGTTTCAACTGCAATACGTTATAATTATGTTAAATAAATTCAAACATTTTTAAAATAATGCTTTTAAAGTAGGGCTCAAACTGTTTTAGTATTGGTGACTGAGATCTAAAAATTTAATAATAGATAAATTTGTTAGCTGCCTAAAATAGTTCTATGCTCCGAAAAACATTTTAAAAATCAAAAAAATCTAGTCACAATTTATAACAATATCACATCATTATTATTTTTCTTTTTATTCTTTTAAAAATAATAAAAAATGACCCTCATGATTTTAAACTCCACCAGAGATATTCTCGATGTAATTGATTTGGAAGAAATAACAAAGAAATAGTCCACATTAAAAAAAACACCGTAATATAGTTTAACTTTTGATGGTTTTTTTACTTGTACTATCTAAATTTGTTTGTATAAATTAATACTTAAAAAATAAAATTAAATAATTTTCAACAATTATTAATTCCCATTAATTTTAGCAAAAAATTGTGACTTGTGATGTAAAATGTCATAAAATATTTACGAGAGTACCCAAATATTTTAGTCGGTAATTAAAATTTTAAAGTCGGCATCTTTATTTTGACACCCCCCCCCCCCTTGCATATTTCTTAGCACCGGCCCTGTGTAAGATTACTCACTGCTTATAATATTATAGTTTCAACTAAAATAATTGATTACCTTTTTTCATTTATTATATCTAAATAACTAGTAAAAATTATACTTGTACTTGTAAATTGTATTCTAAAATAATGGCATTCCATTAAATGCTAAGACTTTTATTGTACATTTTTAAGACTTTTGAGAATTGTATAGCTTACAAAATTTTTTTTAAATTAATTTTCTCTATTTAATATGATATCTGAATGATGATATTTTATTACTAGGACTAAATTGATAACGTCTATGTTTGTACAAAACCACAATATGTCCACCGCTCTCCAACACCTCAAAAACCCTAACGTCTCATTTTGCTTGACATTTAGGTCCCAATATCTATTTCTTACAATATAAAATATAGACAGCCCAAAATTCAACGCGTTTAAAATTCTCGGATACCCTTATGTATTCCCAAGTGACGGGTGACTTAAGAAAGCAAGTAAGTAAAAAAAACATTTTAACCATTTCACAGTGATATCGGTTGCCGGAGTTTTTAGAAGATAACATATACAGGGTGTTCCAGCATGAAAGGTAAGTAATAGGTGATTGAACATCTGGGAAACCCCCAAATAAGCCCCCCGTTTTCATTTTTTCGATATGTAAAAAATTGAAGATTTCGACAGTTAAGTAAAAAAGTAATGACATAAAAATAAAAATTAATTATTCCCTGTTATTCAGTGCAAAAAGCTCACCTTAAAAGAGGGGTTATATTTTTTTACACATTTTTTTTCACAATGAAGAGTGGAATCAAAAAAGGCTTTAAGTGCCATTTATTTCCAAAAATTATTTTTTCAGCCAAAAAGGATGTATGTTCCAACGCCAATGTAATGCAATGAGGCAGACATTTCCTCGTCGATTAGCACTTACAGCCTTTTTTGATTCCACTCTTCATTTATGTGTAAAAAAATATTCATTTTTTAAGTTTTTTAAAATAAAGTTTACAATAATATTAAAAACGAAAAATAAAAATATAATTCAATCGATACATCAAGCAAATATTAAAAAATAGATATTTCCCTTTAAAATGATTGTTACCTATCGGATTACCCGTTTAAAAGACTAGAGTATGGTTAAAATTAGAATGAGAATATTATATATAGAATATTATTTTTTACCAAAGCTACGCAGATGTAGAGGCACCTTAAAGCTCGAAACAAAATATAGCAACAAAAATACTTTGTTAGCTAAGTAAAAATATAAATATCGAAGTAGAAGACCTTTAAAACAAAATTAAAGTTTTGTTTTAACATATACCAAAGAGTGATATAAAATGGGAACTAAGTAAATAGAATAATGGAATCTAAATAATAAATCCATTGACAACAAATAGTGTTATACCGAAAAAAAATAGCCATGTAAAACTGGTAATTTAGTTTACTTGACTGGGACCTTGCTCCATATATAATCACAGACTAGATAAAACATAATTCATAAGTATTCATGAGATTAGATAATCTGTGGTATAATATTCACGGTTATTAGGGATGTGAGCTCTACGCTTTTTTTCTTAGCCCAACACCATTATTTTGTTGTTATGTGTGGAAATTACGATTATTGTTAACATTTTTACAGATACAAGAAATAACCACACAACATGTTTTTATCGATAAATATGTTATATATTAATACATATTAGTTACATAATATTATTAAAACAATAAACATGATTTTCATTAGATTTTATTTAAAACGATGCAATAATCTTTATGTCTATTTTTCGTTACTAATGTGTTTATACAATAAATGGTCAACTAAATTATGTCCAGCGTTGGCTGAAAAAGCATTAAATGAATTAACCATGTTTAAGTTTATTGTACTGAAAACTTTTCTGGTATATTGTATAAACACTGAAGCAGTCAAAATACTATCTTTCATTAACAAATTATTGTTAAAATAAAAAGTAACTCTTTTCTCGGTTAAATCATTAGCCGCTACAAAGTCTTTTATAATTTTAATGGAACTTATTGCAAAACTGTCATCAAACTTGGTTGAAAAGTCGATTTCACAATCATAGAAATTTGGGATGATATGTTTAAGTGTTTCCTTTACAGTATTAATGTTTTTTGTAATTATATTTTTAGTAGTGCGTTTTAAGTTGGTCTTTTTAAAAATTTTAAAAACCTTTTCTAAACTGTTTTCTTTTATTCTGAGAAGCCGTTTGAATTTAAACAAATACGTTGACATTTTATAGTTAAAAACATATGCAAAAACCGTAGGTATTATTTTCCCAGACCATTTCGTTTTATTGTCCGTGGATTCTGACGAAATCATATTATCTATATACGATAAATGTTTCAAAATAATGTTTAACATTACAATTTTTAAAAGATTAATAGTTTTACTCTGTATATTTCCAATGTATTGAATCCATTCGCCCAACAAAGCATTATTTTTAGTTTTTGAGTAGTCCTCGAGCAATTTATTTGATAACGACTCTGAATCGTTAATATGTCCAAAAACTTCCAAGAAATGTTTAAGAATTGACGAGTTGTCCGCCACTCCCTTAAAGAGCAACATTTCAAGAGAAAGATTTAAATCATGTTTATTAAAATTCGATATTAATAAATGGTTAAGGACTTGTGTATGTATTGAATCCCTATTATCCTCTAAAAGTGTAAAATTATGTTGAACATTATCAATTGATTTTAAATCGGCATTCCACTTGTTTTCGTTTTCGTCATTAAAATCATTTGCCGGATCACACTTTACTTTACAACAGGGCTCAAGGCGAACGTGCACGTATTCGTGAGCTTCAAGTACATAAGTAATCCGATCGTTGATATCTTTTACATCAATCGAATAAATGTACTCCGCAAACGTATACATTAACCATAATGCATTTGTCAATAAACAGTGACCATAATTAAACGTTGTCCTTAACATTATACGAACTTCGTCACGAAGAGACAAACTGCGTATTACCGTATTTAACTTTATTTCCGACTTGCCTTCACCTTCCAACAGTGGTTTCAAAAGATGTAAGTGGTGTTGAATTCTGTACATATAACAGCAGTTTAATCGTTTGTGCATATCCATTACCGTTTGGTCCGCTCCAGTGAAATGATATTCTTCATTATTAACTCTATATCCCGTATCCAATTTCAGTAAACGACCATACATATTATATTGTGATAATTTTGAGAGATATTTTTCTTTTGATAGCTGTCCACTGAATACTTGATTCAGAATCAAGTAAAAAAGTGTTATAGACTTAAACATAAACATTTGGCGAAAAAACATTTAACCGGATTTGAAATAATATACTCTTGTGGTTAACGTACAAATGATTGTAATTGTGTTTAAGTTTCATACAACTATAGGTTAGCAAATCCCACATATGTTTCAAAAGTGGCATACGTCAAAAAGTAAACAACAATTTAAAAATATGTTGGTTTTTTTACCTCCTTATGGTGAATATGGTAAGTCAATAACACAATTGTATTTGCTTGTGGATCTTTTTAAACACATGTGCGAAACATTAAATAACTATAATAGCACAAAATCTGTAAATTAGAAACACACCTATAACTTACCTACAGAAATTATTATATAACCAATTTGTAGTCATAACTACATTTATAATACATTACAGTTATCAGGAACTGTAATTTATTATTTAGTTTTTTTCTAAATATTTATGTTGTATTACACAAAAACCAAAATACGAATGTACGTCATTGCACAAATTAATGAGTTTTCAATCAAATAATACAACAACTTCTTTCCGATTGTGTCGTTTATCTGGAATATTCGATGGCTATAGGTCAGACTTAACATTATTATTGCATTCCGACATTAATTATAACCCCATTATAATATAGTACCTGTTGTAATTTACTACCTTATGTTATTACCGTATGTTATACCAGTATAATAACATACGGTGATTCAAGATCGTTGAAACCTAACCTAACCGATAGAGATAACTTTGTTACTTGAGCAAAGCTAGGAAATGGTAATTGTCTCCAGAAGTAAAAAACCAACATATCATTTTAAGACCAATAGTCAATACTTTCTCAGTTCCACGTCAATGATAAAATACAAACATACGATGTACCTTTTAATGTAATGTACCTGGTTTAAAGCTATTATTGGCTCACCTGGCTCACCCTGTATTACTAATTATAATAGTTTATAAATAAGAACTCCAATTCAGTGTTCTTGAAAATTGAAAAATTTGAACTTTCAGTTTCACTAACAGTAAAATAAAAAATGTGGTTCCAACAACAATATATTACTCAAATAAAGCTTCGTCGTCGAGTATTATGTTCGCACATATATTATTACGTATGTATAGATAAAAAAATCGTTTTGTACTGTTGTTTGGCGTCACTGTTTGGTTGTACTGTTGTTGTCTTGTACAGCTTAAATGTACATAATTCTAAAATAAATTATAATTATTTCTTTGTCAAACTATACCTGTCTTAAAAATGCATAAAAAAGTGTCTTAATAAACTTACAAAACTCGTTTATTTCTACAGACGATTTTAACTCTATGTAATTTATGCCTCGGGTCGATCGTTTTCCCCTAACGAAATAGGACTATATTATGAAGGGTCACTTCTGATCTAATACCGATATTTAAGGTTTTAACGCACGAACAACTTTGCTGGAAAACCTTTTTGGCATTCAGCCCAGCAGAATTTTTAGTCTTGATTAAATTTCGTACACGCCCAAAAATTTACAAAAAAAAATACTTGAACTTGGTTACCGCAACTAACTGCGTATAAGAAAAGTACATATATAAATTAATATTCCTGTTCTATTATGCTACATATATCTATATATTATTACTAATTATTGTTTAAAAAAAATACGAATGGTTTGTTTGTTACCACTGCGAAAATTGAACAAAAGGTTTTTTGAAGCCCACAATATAATTATAGCTAATTAGAGCCATTTTTGTCAATAGAGGGAAAAGAGGGCAAAGGGGAGGCTAGTGGGTGAGTTTCTAGTTAATATATATTTGTTTTATATTGTAAATAGGTCAAACTAAAAGTTTAAATGTGACATTGTGTAGTAAAAATATGTTAAGCACTGATTGTATTCCATAATTAGAATACATAAACTATGGTTTATTCTTCATTATTCAGTTTTGCGTTTGTCGAAAATTCTACTAGAACTAGAATATTATAAAACTACAAAAATTATAGAGAATTTAGATCTTTAGTTTTATTTATTATCTTTTATAAAAATTCATATTTTTAAAAACGCAATACGGGTTCCACTATCGAATTTATTTTCACAAAACTCTTGAGACGTCAGGGTAAATTTACACTACATAAACAGTAATAATACCGAAGTGAGTATTTTGTCTGTAATCATTGATGACTGCATAGCTAAACTTAATATTATAGTTTACACTTTCCACAGTTTAAAATTAATAACATATTATAATACTGTTTGTATTACTTAGTTCTGATTGAGAAGGTACTTTATATAATGTTATAGGTTAACTAAAGTGTAACTATAGGTAACACATATTGGAAATAATACACCAAAAAAATAATTTTTTTTAGATTATATAGGTGTTCAATTATCTGAAAACTTTCCCATCGGTTGATTTTCTATATAATTAAGTACTAAAGAAATTAAAAAAATATATATAATAGTATTAAAATATATATCATTTAAGATAAAAAGAGGAGTATCTGAGCTTTTATCGAATTTCAACTTTTATTGTCAAAGTAAATTCCTAACAATAAATTCCCTCTTACAGTAAACTCCTCGAAAACTTCCTTCGTGTACCACCACTACAATAATTTTGCTTGTATACCAAGAGTAGAGTTCCAGTAAGTACTTGATATTTCCAAGACGAATGAAACAAAATGTCTCAACCAAAAAGTTTACCGTACCGGCTATAAAATGATTAATATCTCGAACCAACCACAATTTATCACTGGTTAAAATATAATACCATTCATTGTAGAGGGATACAAAAGAATTAAAGAGCATTCTTACTACACCAATTTCCAAACGTTATGTAGGAATTGTTCTAAATCTCAATACCCACTTTTATTTGCATAAGAAATCATATTCAAATGTTCGTATTGTAAAAAAACATTAAAATTTAAAAAAATTATGATATTTAAGTATCTTCATAAAAGAGAGTTTAGAGACTAGAGATGAGGGATGGGGATGAAGGGGGTGGTGGGAATGGGGAATGGGAATTATTTTACTCAGCCCTGGCAAACTAAATCTCGGGCAACGCCGGGTCCGGACAGCTTGTATATGAATTATGATAAATATAAAACATTAATTTACTCGTTTACCAGATTTATTTATGTATAACAAATCATAAAAACATTATCATGCTTCCACATTCCAAAATCCCACGAAATTTGTTTTCAATGTAATAACTATATATCTACACAATAATTTTAAATAAGCAGAATATCACATATCAAATTTTGTTATCTAACAAAAAAGTTCTTTAGTCAGAATTTGCAACTTTATTACAGAAAATGTGCTAGTTAATTTCAAATATAATACAAAACAAAAATTAGCCAATAAAAACGTTCAACGAATCATAAAATTACAAAAAACCGTTTATAAAATCGTTAACAATATAAATATGACCAATATATTAAGAATAAATTATTGTTTTTTGTTAGGATAAGACAACTGTTCTAACATAACTACACAAATTGGGTAGCTACAAAACTCTTCAGATGTTACAGTTTGGTACTTGACTGTGTGTTCGTTTCAATCCATGCTGCTTAATACACTATGGCTTATAGTTATGTAGGTAAATTATTACCGGTAGTGACATCCCATTACTGCGCAGTCCCGGATCTGTTAAATGTCTTCATAAGTCTCTAATTATACACCATAACATTATTACATTAAAACATTGCATATTATTGACTATCCTATGACATTGTTTTGGTCTCACTAAAATGTGTTTAAAAATATGAAGTATTTAATACAAATCGTTAGATTTATACTTAAGATAATATCAGTCAGTAAGACATCAGTAGGGTCATCAGTAAGCCTGATCATAGTGGGTGCAGACTGCAGAGCATAGTGAAGTCGGTGTAGTTATAGGATTGTAGGAATTACTTGGTATACTGCCCTCCTAGTAAAAGAAGCAGTAAATGCCAAATTTTCAAAATTGAGATTATTTTATATTCGGTGTAATCGAATAGTTCTGCGTTTTTTTTTACTTGGGAAAAACACCGTATCTCCATTAAAAATGCCTTTAAAATGCATTATAAAATGTCGCATCGACCAAAATATTGTCAAATACTAGGGGAAAACACAGTATGTACATTTATGTAGCATGTCCTAGGGAATAATGCAGTATACACAATGGAGATACTGCTTATTTTATTAGTAACCAAATTTCTCAATGCATATACTGCATATTTACCAAGTAATCTTAGCTAAAACGGCTTTGCAGTATGTACACTATCTTTTATCTATAAATGGTCATGGTACTAGTCAGACACGACAATGTGTACCAAAACATTTATTGAGATTTATCAGATACCTTGGTACTAACTATAACCATTATGTGTTTATAATTCTACTAATATTATTATATTAAAAAATATCTTTATGGATATACTGCATTTTGTTTTTAATACACAATAATACTAGAAAGAAATGAAGTATATCCTTAAAAATGAAAAAAAAGCGAAAATAATAAACTAAGTATCAAAAAAATCTTTCAAAATATTAAGGATGCCTATGGCTAATAGTTAATAATAATAATAATTAATGCAAAAAAAAAGTGAGTAAAAATAATAATTTCATGGTGAAAAATGAAGAAATCGAAAAACTCATTTTCCCGACAGTTCAATTATTGGAGATACTGCTTGTTCCACTAGTAGGGCAGTATAGCCGAGTGTTATGACATCACTCTTAAACAAAACGCTTCGATGCGTATTTGTAAATGGTATTTTTTTTATGACTGTTGATTCATTCACACATGTAACCAGGAAATGTAATGCGGTAAGGTGTAGGTAATTTTCCCTTTATTTTATTGGTTTTCCCTTAACAAAAAAATCCTATGAAAATTGTCAGACCAAGACGTAGTTTGTCTAAAATCAATTTAGTGTTTGGTGGTGTAAAGCACCTGAGTACGGTCGCGGTTGAAATAAAATTACAAACAACGTATTTTACTGTCTCAAGTGTTTTTTTTTTCTAATTTAAGTTATTTTATCTCTTCTCGGACTGCTGGGAATTGAAAACCTATCTTCTTAAACCATCTAAAATTTCCATAACAAGGATTTACCTGTATCACCTGAATGACAAATACGCCAAACATAAGAAACGACATAGTCATTAGTGACCTTTCAAACGACGGTTGTGTAATCATTGAAGAGGCAGAATTTTTTTTTGCTCGCTCTTGGATTCTTTGCATATTAAACAACGTCTTTCGTATAGCATTGCGGCGATTACGGCGTCCGGAGTTACTAAACCCACCGCTGTTGAAGAAAATAAACTCCAATTGCTTTAGTACCCGTTCTGCAACACAGTATTTACCAATATATTATTAATGCGAGCAGTGTAGCTGTAAAAAACAATTACTTTTTATCCATTAAAAAGTATAATTTTATCAAATATACAGCATAGTAATTAATAACAAGCTACACAAAAAATTAACGTGATACCGAAAAAGTTTTCATTAATTTTACACAGCTCTGGCCAATGGCCCAAAAATTTATGGGCGGGATTGCCAAATCGTAAATATTTCTAAATGTTAACAGACAATTCTTCAACCGTTTTTGGACACAGCTGCAATACCTACCTATATGCTCTGTAACAAAATCCACTACTTTTAATTTGTTTTATGAACCAATTATTGTATTAATATCATTGAATTGTAAAAATTCCCATGTAATGACCATTAGTTCCTTACACCATTACTGCCTTGGCATAACCTACAGTTAAAATCTTACTGCTAACCTAACACACCATGCTAGTTTGTTTTTAAAAATGTTTAATCCGTATTATTAAAAAGTGTTACTTACGTATCCTGTTGAAGAATAGAGCACGAGCAGAACGCAAGTATTCAAAAATGGCAGTGGCCGCCGTACCACGTTGATGTTGTTCTACCAACACGACGGCATCGTCATCTTCTGTCTGGTTACCAGTATAGAGCACCTTCTGGTCTACAACGACCGGTTCATCTTGTTGTTCGTCGTCATCATCATCTACACTTTCGATGGTCAAGTCGTTTTCGTCGCTGTCAGTCCGTTCGTCGTCAGCTTCTGGATCTTCTTCGACATTCAAGTCCACTCGACTCGTATTAGTTTCTGTGTAATTGATGCGGTCCGGTAATTGTGTAGTTGTCGCCGGGCGTTTTGGGTCGGTCGCCTCGGGGTGCACTTGCAAGGGGTTAACACTAATGGTCGTGAGGACTTTTTGCAATCCTGAGTTCTTGTCGCCCTCGACCAGAATGCCACAAGGCATTTTCACATGAGCGTTGACACTACCGTTGCTAGTTATCGTGCACAGTCTGATCCAAGTAATGTTGCTCCTGTAGTCGTACGAATCGCTGTCAAAACTACTGCAAGTCACTACGGCCGCGGCCAACGCAACCGCTGTCAACCACACCATTATATTTTGCTCTGACTGCAGCACACAACTAAGAAACCCAAGAAACTTGTACACCTACTGAAATGCAACCAATTAAATAAGATGATCATGTCGGTCACCCGGCCAACTGACACTTACACGGTCCTGTTACGTTGTTAATTATCGTCGTAATCGTTTTATCAAGTTTAAACACGTGCAATATACTCTATATAACCTATATAGCTCAACGACCGTAACGACCATCGTGTGTACAATTATTTAATAACATCCTGACAAAAATACAATTATTGTCATACTCGTTTGTTTTTTTTTCAAATTATTTTATACGAATCGTCGCTAGTTTAATTTAAACAATATGCGTTCGTACTTGATTCAGCCACACCGAAAAGTAACTGTGGTACATATTACCATTTTTGTTTTGTGCACTTAAAAACACTCATATTGTGAACAAATTATAATTATCAAATTTTTTTTATTTCAGGTCTAGTTTCTCGACAATCTCACATGACACATTATGCTTGTTTATTAAATTGCTTTTCCTTGTTTTAAATTGTTATCATCACTTTTTCAACATTTTTCATTATTTAGGTTAACATTTTATGTCGGGCAATTATCCCATCCACAAAAGTATTTCACTCAAATTATTATCTACTGTACACCTTGTATTGTATTAAAGATGAGTAACTGTTTCAAAAAATTAACTCTAATCTTGAAATTGTTTGTTTGTTGTCATCTAAATGTTATACATTATTACAATAATATAACGATTATATAACTATATGATATTTAAACACATCAATATTATTTTTGTTATGAAAATAAACTGTATTACAACTTGATACCTAGGTTAACTGTTTTATTCTATTGCTATTATTTTCTGTGTAAACAATATTTACCCGTGCATGTAAATTAGCAATAGTAATAAAAACTGTTTAATGACAGGTGAGAAGTCTTAAAAAGTGGATAAAAAGGAACTTTCAGGCCGAAATTCCAAAATCCATGTAATCATTTTAGAAACAGTATTTCATTGTCAAATGTCAAACAGTTCTACTGATAGGTACAGCCTGTAAACAGACACCTAAATCACTAGTTATCTCTGCTCCCTCCGCCCCCCCCCAACTATATGTTATACTACTATTATGCTTACCAACACTTGACCCATTATACTAGCTCGAATTTTATTCGTTAGATCCAATGCTATCAAAAGGATCTAAAATGTATGGAATGTAATGTGTTGTAAGTTACCATACATTTTATAGTTACAAGCTATAACCAAATAATATAGTTTGAAACATATAGTACGTAAGATTTAACCAGGGCCGGACTTAGAGGGGTGTGTGGGGGGGTTTGACACCCCCCCCCCCCACTCGGAAAACTCAAGTATACACAGTCGGCACATTCGGACAAAAAGTCGGTAAATATCATAACCCCTTATAAAATTATACAAATAACATATTTATTTTTTTTATTTTATAAAAGTAGGTAGGTACATAATTTTTATTGGAATCTGGCGACTGAATAGTAAATAGTCTGCATACGGACGACCATACAAAAATATAATTTTAGTTTTGGGTATAAAAAAAAATAATACATTTTCGGTTATTCCCGATTTTAGCAGAAGTATTATTATTTGATTATAATAACTGTGGTGTATATTATATCAAACTATGTTCGGTCATGGGACCTATTGGTCTATTGTAAACAAACATTCTATCCCTCTATAAGTATATATTTTTATTTTCATCAATCCGATCGACTTTGTAAAGATATTACATTTTCTCCTATTTCTTAGGTTGTCCAAAAAAACAGTGGCCGTCGTTATCTCGGTTAAATTGCAGTTTCAACTGCAATACGTTATAATTATGTTAAATAAATTCAAACATTTTTAAAATAATGCTTTTAAAGTAGGGCTCAAACTGTTTTAGTATTGGTAACTGAGATCTGAAAATTTTGTAATAGATAAATTTGTTAACTGCCTAAAATATTTCTATGCTCCGAAAAACATTTTAAAAATCAAAAAAATCTAGTCACAATTTATAACAATATCACATCATTATCATTTTTCTTTTTATTCTTTTAAAAATAATAAAAAATGACCCTCATGATTTTAAACTCCACCAGAGATATTCTCGATGTAATTGATTTGGAAGAAATAACAAAGAAATAGTCCGCATTAAAAAAAACACCGTAATATAGTTTAACTTTTGATGGTTTTTTTACTTGTACTATCTAAATTTGTTTGTATAAATTAATACTTAAAAAATAAAATAATAATTTTCAACAATTATTAATTCCCATTAATTTTAGCAAAAAATTGTGACTTGTGATGTAAAATGTCATAAAATATTTACGAAAGTACCCAAATATTTTAGTCGGTAATTAAAATTTTAAAGTCGGCATCTTCATTTTGACACCCCCCCCCCTTGCATATTTCTTAGCACCGTCACTGGATTTAACTTTTATAGTTGTAGCTGTAAAATAAATAAATATATAATTGCTTTAATATCAAACTTTTTTTCCCCTCAAACATCGCACATCTGGGAGGGGACTGTTTTCACACTACTTCCTCCCTTTAATATCAAACTAGAAATAACGTTAGTTTATCGTTTTAAGCTTTAAATAATGTATGCTACCTATACTTTACTTACATTTTTTTCCTAATGCTCAATGCAAACTACTTTATTAGCCAACTAAGGTTCATAATTATTAATCGCGAGGTAAAAAAATATTCAAACAAATTTAATATTATTCTTATTATAGCTGAGATAAGTTTGTTTCATGATTTTTGAACACAATAGAAACTTTTAACAAACATAAATGTTTGTTTTAAAACTAACCAAAACTTAAAATGATAATAGTGTTTATCATATTGGCTATTGCTTTTGAATTATCTACCTACTAAGATTACTTTTAAAAAGTAACAAAACCATATTTTATCTCTTATTCGAATAAACTTCATAAACATAACTTCAAACTTTTGTGTGGAGCTAAAAAGGTATTGACTTTACAAAAATATCGTAGCTGTTTGCCTGCAAACATAAGCTTTTCGAGACAGCTACGCCGTCTTTTAGGTTAGTGCGTCACAATGTCAATATATTATATAATAAACTAGATTGCTAACTGTACATGTCACCAATAGAGAAGATTGAAGCAGCCACTTTCCGCCATCTTGGTGGTAATTAGAACCTTACCACGCGAGAATAATAAATATTTATAACAATCACATAAATATATAATATTGATATAATAATATATACAGATTTATATTATATGCACACATAAATCCCACCAGAATGGCGGACCGTCGGCTTCAATTCTTATCGCTAGTTAGCAATCTAGTTTATTATATATATCTATGATGTCAACAGTCCACTAGTTATTATCATTTATCATTATTCATTATTATTTAATATTTATATTTTAGATCCGATATGAAGGTGAGAGGAGGTAGTTTTACAATAATCTAAGTATTACATAATAATTTGTTATGTGTCTGTAGATGCTGTGTACAAAATAATGACCATATTCAAGTTCCAATTAATTAGGTATTAATTATTTATTTTTGCTGTTTTCACAAAAAAAGATATTAATTCTTAACATTAATAACATTACTTGAAAGTTATTGATTTTTTTTTTAATTTAAACATATTTGGTTCATTAGCTTATTAACTCACGTGTAAAGCTTAGAATATTTAATAAAATGCCTAAATTCTATACTTATACAAATAATTTATTTTAAATTAAAATTTTTTTGAAGGGGTGGTTTGAAGAAATCTATTATGAATAAAATATAAATATATTACTATAATATTATATTATATTATAATAATTATAATAAAATTCAATTTCTACCATTTAAATTGCATGTTGGCTAAAATGAATAAAGTTTTCGAGCATTAATGTAATATAAATTTCTCATTTTGTTATAATTATTTTGATCTTAGTACCGGTATATTATATATTAAAAGATACCATCACAACGTAAATCATATACGTAAGCTCCACTGACGCATTTTCCAATCAGTTTTTAAAAGAAACTGTTACACCTATACCATATATATTTATTTAAGATATAAATGGCGCTTATAATAATTATAAAATAAAATTTTTAAAAGTTTAGGTTATATTATGTCAATAATTATAAATGTTATCTTTATCCCGATATAGGTAATTCAGATACAACAATGAATATAATTATAAATTAATGCTGAGTTGCAAAAAATAAGTACCAATTAAATTATCAGTTCATTCAAATTCAACGGTGAGCTCGCAAGAAAGTGGCTATCTTGTGTTTAAGAGACTAAGGGATTTCCGACTCCTTAATGAACGTTCATTCGGCAAAAAAATATAATAAATTAGCAACTAAGCATCCCTTTAAATATTTACTCAAAAACAAACATTTTAGTACCTATTTAAAATAATTTTAAATTATCTTGTTAAAATAAGACACATTACATTACCACACAAACTTATAGAAAATATATATGTAGTAACATAAATTATACAAACATAATCTATACCTTAACCGCAAGATTAATATTGCAAAGAAGTATATTATATGATAAGAAGAAATCACATCCACGATTCTTCAATCCGTTGAAATTACATTTATTGTAAATTTTAAGTCCATTTAAAATTTAAGATTGAAAATTAAACCAAACAATCAACAAAAGGCAGAATAAACAAACTGAACCATCAACAATATAAATAAATTGAAGTTATTACTTTATAATTAAATTTGTACCTAGGTAGTTATAATGTTATGAAGATTAGACATTAAATTCTTAAAATGGAAATTATACATCCTAAACGTCTATCTTCAGTGTGTTGACGATTGATTTCTGAAAAGTCAGTTTTTCAACTAAGACAGTCTTGATGTTTTAAAAAGCACCTAGAAATAAATTAACAATATCCGATTTTATTTCTAAATAACATATTTTTAAAAACAACCTGTAAATTCTAGTTAATTTTATAGTTTTTCCATTTTAGTTACTATACTATATAGCATAAATTGTTTGTATTTTAGTATGGCTAACAAAACATAGCTCACAGCGTTAGGCAATTACTTGAAATAATTCAATATTAATTAAATAAGTAAACTATTAATAAAATAAAATAAAAATACATGAAATGTACTTGAGGCACTAACTCAGAAACAAATAATCGTTTCCCTCTTCAATCGATAATCAATTTAGTTTTTTGTAGTATTATTTAAAAAATATACAATTTTAAATTCAAATATCTAATGCAATATATTCTGTTGACTATAAAAAAGTTAATAATCTGAACTTCAAATCAGGGTAAGTTAAGAATTAATAACAAGTTATAATATATAAAACAAGTACATTTTTATTTTCTACAATATATTTTGTATGATATGAGCTCACATTTTTTTTAACACAAACAATAATTATTTTTTTAATAAACCTCTAGTGACTACAGTCGCGGAATTTCTTAATTGGTCCGAATGTGGTATTTCATATTCAACTGCAACAGTCTTGGCTAGTTCAGACAATGCCTAAAATAAATAATATTGCTATTACTAAAATAATAACACTTCACAAATCTGTTAAATATTAATATTAATACTGAAAAATGTATATTAAATACACTAAACCATGTGTTGTTGATTTAAGTAATATACTAAGTACATTAGTATCTAATATATAATAGTAGTGAAAATCACTTTAAAATAAACGCTTCGATACGAAACTCTAGATGGTAGAAATCCAAATAAATCAATAAATGAATCGTAATGTCAAAAGTGGGTTTTAATTGTCTATTCTAATACTTTGTTGTGGTTGTTACCAATAGACAAACCAACAACACTATAAAATTATTTTTCGAATACCTGTTTCCTGTTGATTCACTTTTATATAGCAACCTAGACATTTCCTACAACCAGTGTATTTCCCCCCTTTTTTTGGTTTTTCCTTAATAAAAAATAAAAGTTTGATAATAGATTTTTGAGAAAATTGTAAATTTTAACTAGATTTAACTTTTCAGTATAAATTATTGGTTTGATTCGTAATTAAATAATAAGGGGTTGGACCATAGGCATAAGGTCAGAATACAAAAACACATGATTGGACACAATACAACATTTTGGTTAAATATAAATGTATTAAATAAAATAAAAGTACAAATTCATAAAATACTTTAAATGAAGTTGGTTCCCAAATTGCTAGATCAGCTAACACTTTTCGATTCAATTGTACATCACACCTTGATAAACTTTCTCTAAATGTGGCCAAGTCCACTCCATGTTCCTCACATCCAGCTTTAATACGAGTATTCCACAGCTGAAATTTCAAAAAAAAATATTAGATAGTAAAAATGTTTAATTATACATGTAATAACATAGATGTATTATAATACTAACTAGCCTATTTCTGTAGCTGCAGTGTACAATTCTTACTACTTACAAATTTCTATAATCTATGTAAGCTTAGTACTTAGAAATAGAGAGCTTAGACAATATTTATCATAGACTAGGATAAAGAAGAGTATATAGTACACAAAATATGATTAACATAAAATAAATCATGTTTGATAAAGTAGAAATCAATATTCAGTTATTCAAAATAAAAGGAAAATCAATTAAAATCCAGGTTTCATAGGACAGTTGTGACTTACAAGGACGACAATGGATTAAAATTTCAGGATTAAAAAATGCGGATAAATATTTAAAAAAAGGTTTTTGGGAAAATATTTTGTTTTTTTAATTAACAAGTTAGACTGCAAATTGTAAATTTTGGCTAATTTCACTAAACCTATTATCTTACAACAGGTAAAAATGATCCAACAAAATATAATTTTAGTAGGAGTAAAATGTAGTCAACAGTATTATTTATTTAATATAGTACATTTATAATATCATTTAATTACTTGTCCCATATCTTGTTTTTTTAAATCACGTCCAATTGTAGCAAATTGCAATGCACGATGAACTGCCCTAATGGCAATAGAATAACAGTTCCTTCTACGGCCAGAAAAGTGCTAAAATCAATATAAAATTAATAAAACAGTATAAAGTAAAAATAAATAACGAACAAGTTATAATAGTATAACGCGTATACTAACAGCTGCAATTTTAAATATCTTTCTTTTTCTCCAAAATTCATCTGGCCCTCTGCTTCTAACCATCATCATTGCTGTGGTAAAAACCATTTTATAGACTTGAACTTACAAAAGTATTAACAACTACTAGACTAATGAGTTTTAATAGTCCTTTTGATAGAAAACGATAAAATAATATTTGAAAAAATTTTAAATACTAGCAAGTAGTACGTTTTTTGTATGTCCAACCGAGAAGTGTGAACGCCAAACGCCGCCGGAGACTCCGATACAAAACGTTATCAAGTTATCGTTTACTTGTTATCAATATTTCAATACGCAATTTCGAAAACTTGAAATATACATTTATAGAAATATTTTAGTAAAAAATTACCCATCAATTCTAAATTTTTTTATACGCCATTAAAAATATTACTAATTATTAATTAAAATAATTTGATGTTTTTTTACAAAATATTTTATTAGCATTCTATTCATTTAAGTAATATTATAAGCAGCTGTTGAGATGATGATAACTGATAAGTAATGTGTTTATAGGATATGAAGTTGTATCCGACAATAGAGATGAATAAAGTTGATAACAAAATAATTGAATAAGCATGTCAAAATAACCTCAAAGTGTAAACAATATAAAATACATAATAATTCAAATTTTAAATGTGAAAATAGCCAAGTAAAATATTTAAATACATACCATAGGTACTTTTAAGCTTTAACGATTTAACCGATTTTTCGTTTTGTTTAAAAATAGCAATGAAGAAAAGACCTTGGTGACTATAATATTATGAGAATTCGAAAATAAATTTTAGTCAATAGATGTAGAATTTCACATAAAAATTTTAATTTTATGTTCTTAGGGCAAAGAAAAAACCAGAAAGTGACGATGATGATTCTGTGGATTTTGATGCTGAAGATTCAGGAAGTGAATATGATGAAAATGAAAAAATACTCCTAGAAAAAACAAGACAAGAATTTGCTAGAGGCGGAGAAGTAACTGATGAGGACAGTGAAGTATGTAATTCGTTTTATACCTATTCAAATATACAACACAAGGTTATTAAACGTGTATGCTATATCAAAAGCTGCATTTATGATAGAACTAGGCAGATCTCACTGAATTAAATTATCGAATCATTAATTTTCTTATTTACTACTTTCAATCAGTGGTGTGATGTGGTTTTTTAGTGTAAAGAAGAACAATTCAGGAGTCTTTGTAGAAGGGTGACTAATATGTGTATATAATTAACATATAACTTAATATATATTTGTCTATAAATGCTTACTATGCCACTGCTTTTAATTATTGTGTAAAGTATGTAAAAAAGAGTTCAGGATTTGAAACGTGTTTCATTATACACATAGACCAGTACATAAAAAATCTGTACCTGACCTGGGAACTCTAATCTAATGTACTTTGGTAAAAATATCTAAAAAAGTTTACGAAAATTACTCTTTTTTTTCATTTTATTAAGTTAGTACAAATAAAGTATAAAAACATTAAATAATGTTAAATTTTGATTATTTTTCCAGGAAGAAGTTTTTCCACTTCGTACTAAATTAGATAAATATGAAGATAGTGAAGAAGAAGATGAAGAAGAAGAGGAAGACGATGATGAAAATGAAATTCATAAACAAAATTCTGATTCAGATTCGGATGAAAGACATTTGAGCGATAGTGACATAGAAGGCGCAGTTGAAAGTGGTTCCGATGATTTGCCTAATGATAAAGCTTGGGGTCAATTACGAAAGTCATTTTACAATACAGATTACTTAGACAAAGATCATGGAGGTAAGTTGAACAAATATTTATTCATCTCTTTATAAAACTGTTTATTAATTGTTAAATTTTCTAAGGTTTCGAGGGTGAAGAAGATGAAGAAACGGCAAAAATGGAAGAAGAAGAAGCACGAAAAATCCATCAGAGAATGATGTCAGAGTTGGAAAATGTCGATCTCAACAACGAATTATTTGGGGTGAATTAATGTTGTTATCTTACACTAGAAATAGAACCCTATAAGTTGACATAACTTAGACAATATTTCAATTGAGCAAAGCTTTATTTATTTGTAAAATTTAGAGTACTAAAAATGTTGAAAATGTAAAAGAGGGTGCTGACAAAAGTGATATTACACAAATGGAAAAAATTAAAAAAGATCTTAGCTCTATGAGTGATCGCGAAAAACGAAAATTGTTATTAAAAGAATCACCAGAAATTTTTGGACTGATTAAAGATTTTAAAGGTATTATTAATAATTTTGTGTAAAACCTGTTAAATTATAATACGAGTATTATTTACAGATCACATGACAACGGTTGAAGAAAAACTTGTTCCAATTTTAAAATTAGTCAAGTCTAGGGATATCCCACAATGCCCAGCTTTAGATTTTATACAATATTATTACGAGATAATCATGAAGTATTATAATATATATTTTATTTTAATTAAACAACTTGATAATAAATTGCAAATATCTTTTTGTTTTTGTTAGTTACTGTATGAACATTGGTTATTATTTGCTCATGAAGTCTCGTCGTATTCCAATTCAAAATCATCCAATTATGAAACGCTTATTACAATATCGAGAATTATTATGTGAACAAGATAAACGGTATATTTCAATAATCTTGCCACAAATTGACGAATTATTGTTAAATACAACATCAATAAGGTTAATTAATATTTATAGTAGTCTATTGTAAAGTGATAATAATGTTTTAAAACATGTACATTTCAATTAAAGTCCATCTCAACTTCCGGTGAAGCAAAAACCCAAAAAATTATTAAATATTTTGACACAAAAGCCAAAAACAAATATTCCTGAAAAAGTTCAATGTAAAAAAGTACAAACTAATAAAAGTCAAACAAAAGAATTTAATGAAAAAGAAAATAGCATGGATGAAAGTGAATCAGAAAATGAAAATAGTGTAAATGAAGACGAAAATCAAATGACTGGTAAAAAAATACAATTCATGAAATAATGTCTAATTGATTATATTATACCTACTCAAACTGACATTTTTTTTAATGTTTGTTAGTAGATCAAGCGTTAACAACTGATGAAAAGCGTGGTATCACTTATCAAATAGCCAAAAACAAGGGTCTTACACCTCGTCGTAAGAAAGAACTACGAAATCCAAGAGTAAAGAATCGTATGAAGTACAGAAAAGCTAAAATCCGTAGAAAGGGACAGGTAAAATAACTTTATTTATTTATTATTAATTCAAATCCATAACATAATATTAACTAATCTTTTTTATAATTGTAGAATAAAGTCATTTAAATTAATATCTTTCATAAATATTTAAATATTTTTACAAAATATTAATTAAAAAACTTAATTGAAGTTGTACTTTAAAATTAAAGAATCACAAATTTTGCACTGTAAATTATACAGTCCAAATCTTCTTTTATCATTGTTAATTTACTTAAAAGCAACTCTTAGTAAATTTTGAAAAAATGTATTGTTATTTGTACTTATTTATCACTTTATGCCTTAATGGTTGCTGATTTAGTGTATTTAGTTATATATATATATAAACTGAAGTATTATTAATATCCTAATCATAATAATTATGACCCATATTGCTCATTTTTTAAGTATTATATCACTAAAATAGACGTAACTATGTCGAATTCAGATTTTTTTCTAACATTATTTAAAAGTATAAATGATAGTCGTTGAATTTTGAAAAATTAAGTTTACACATAAAAAATACTGCTTATAGGTCTGTTGATCTCCTTTTAATTTTTGTATAATACTGTTATTAGAGCAACTGATGTTTTTAATGCTTATCCTCGTGCTCTTAACTTATTTTATTCACCTCATTATAATTTATTACAAACTTATTATAATCAAATATTTTTAAAAAAATTTAGCTATTAATAATACTAATAAATCAGTCATTTACATAATTGAACATTTAATGACACTAGTGTTATTTTTATATTATTAATTAAAATTTGTTTTTTTCAGATCCGTGAGCCACGTACAGAATTACGTCGATATGATGGTGAAATATCTGGTATCAAAGTTAATTTGGCTAAAAGCATAAAAATTAAAGTCTAGTTATCATTAATGCAATTATGATTCTAGTATTGTTAAATATCAATTTTTACATGAATAAACTATGTTGTATTTTATAAATTATTGCTTTTAATATGTATAAAAATAAAATAATGCTATAATTAAAAATTGCCAGCACAATGGAGTCGGAGGCTTTTAAAAATTGTATATAACTGAAAGTGATACTGATATATCATTATAAAAATGATTTTTCAATCGATTTCAATAGACAATAAAAAGTGTTATAATCACTATATACCCTCTTGGCCTCTTCCCGCTGGGTTTATTGATTAGTCTTTTATGTATTAGCTTATCCTTTGTCCTCCATACATGGCCAGCCCAATCTAGCCTTTTAGCTTTCAGACATTTTTGTAAGTTTGGTCTATTGAAAATGCTTTCGATTTTCTCATTTTTCCTTCTTTCAAAACTTCCTGACGCCTGGTTTAGTGTGGGACCATATATCTTCCTTAACATTTTTCTCTCAAATAGAAGTTTTAGTTCATCGCTTTTTTTTTGTTGACCCGGTCTCACAGGCGTACATCACAATAGGGCGAAGGTAGGCTATACAGGGTGGCCCACAATGATTTGACAAATGAAATAACTTTAGTTCTAGTGAATATTTTTGAGATTTTTTTTTTTTAAATAATTTTTACTCATTTGCGCACTTACCTGTTTTACTTTTTTAAATTTATTTTTATTTTTTTTCAAGATGGCCATTTTATTCCAAATAATTTTTAAAAAAGAATTGGTGAAAAAAATTTGTATTTTTATTCATCCGTTCAAAAGTTATATTCATTTGAAAGTGAGGATGACTGATGAGGTGGAGTGCGGTAGTTAACGCGCGTAGATAAAAATAACTACACGGTTTACTCTAAAAACCGTGGTGCTTATAGCGCAAATGAGTATAAATTATTTTTAAAAATTCAAAGTTAACACAACTACGTATGTAGAATATTATGTAAAACTAAAGTCATGACGTTTCTTCATTGGTTCTATGGTAATTAATAATGTTATCAGAAGATCTTCATAGCGCCTTTGGCATTACTTTCTAACCATGGCTAGAATGTTTTAAAGTATATTCGGTCAATGCCGGTCTTATAGCCAAAATATCTTTTATCAAACCAAAACGATGATGTCAGTTTTTGATATCCTTTTTTCATTTTTTATTATTTAGGGATTTTGGGATTTTATAATTACAAAACATTTTCCTAAAGACATTTTTCGTTAGTCAATTTTTACGTCGGGTCTTTCCTATAATAATTGTAATTTTTTTCGGTTACCATTTATAATCTATACTATAGGCGGTATAGCATATATGTAAAAAAAAATAAACAGTACAAAAGGGTCAGGACTCGGGGCATAGTGGGGACGAAGCATATTGGAGCGTGGGAGGTCACAGGTCTATAATATGAATTATCACAACTTAAATTATAAAAAATAGCCACACGAAGAAATCGGTTCAGTGGTTTAAATGATGTCTTAGGTCATCACAGACACGGACACAGGAAAAAAATATATTTAAAAAAACATCATTGTAAAAACAATATTATATTCTCAGCTCCGCATCGAAGCTAAAGCCAGAACAATATAGAAACTAAAATGTTTGCCGTTTGTCTTAGTGGTGAGCCTACAAACGTTGTTGTTCATTTCCATAAGGCCATTCGTGCTTAAGAGATGGTATCAAATCAGTGTTCAGGCGAAACAATCTTTGAGTTTCCTACACATTTCGGTTATTCTCGTATCATCTCAACAAACCAATTTGTGAAAATTCTGCCATGTATTAAAAAAACTAAATTCTAAAAATTGTTATTTCATTAACAGGATAAAGAATTTTATTATAAATATTATATTTATTATTTATTATTATTTTATTGTAAAAATAAGTAATTATTATAACCTATGTCCTATAATAAGAGGATTGCGTGCGGTCTACTTTTTGACGTTTAAGATCAAAAGCCAGACAAAATTTCGACTACTTACGATGAAACGATTTCAATTCTGTAAAGATATACGAGTTCTTTGGCAACTTTACTAGAATATAATAGAAACAGATTTTTTATTTTTTGCTTTTTTAAAAAAAAAATTTGGTTTTAATATTGAAAAAACTACAAATTTAATTACAAGAAACCGACATTTTAAAATGAAAATGGCCTCCTACATAACAAAATAAAGTAGCCAAAGAACTCAAATATCTTTGAATTGAGATTGGACTATGATGAGTAGTCGAAATTTTTTCTGGCATTTTGATCTAAAATAAACCAAAAATGGCTTTTACTCATATAAAAAAATATTTAAATTAAAAATAATACCTTGAAGCTTATACAAATTAAACGGTAAATTAATTGACATGGTCGAATTTTATTAAAACCTATTTTTTCTTAAATATTGCCCATACAAAACTCTTTAAAAACCGACCGCATGCAATCCCTTTAATACCTATACAAATTTTAAATAATTGCTAATAGCCAGGTATTTTTATAGACTAGGAAACATTGTTTTATAATTTCGTTTACGTTCTGTATACAACACTAAAACTCTCAGTTTTATAGTTTTTGGTCTTTACACGGTTTCAACACCGGCACTCAACTGTCCCATATTACTCATTTTAATGAATATCCCATGCAAATTCGAAACTATTTCGACTACTTTAAAAAAAGTTTTAGAGCGCCTTAATTTTAAGTTGAAAAATATGTAAATTTTTCCAGATTTTGAAAGGGAAGGGGTGAACTTTTGGGTCAATAAACTCTAATGTACCTTTTGGTTACGATTTCTGATCTATAGAGTTGCCACACGAATCGGTTCAGCGGTTTAAAAGATGTCGTGGCTCAAACACAAAAATATATAAATAAAAGCACATTATCACAAAACCAACATTTTCTCTGTTCCGAATCATGGATAAAATTATCCTGACTCTATAACTCTAATTTTATATAAATCCTTCTATATTTTTATTTGTACTAAGTTTATGCAATTTAAAAATATTTTAATCCGTTTTTAAACACTATAATGAAGAAAATAACTGTGTGGCGTCGATGACCATCAGCACCTATGTTCGTTTTATTATAATTTTGCAAGCACGAAGATTTTTTTCGTTTTGATTTTTACAATCGTTTAATACTCGTCAACGTTGTTAAATTGTGTTACCAGCGATTGTTTATTAAAATTGTTGCTGGCTCTAATAATTTCAACTCTTTTAACAAATAACGACCGAAACAACCTATCTATTTATTTAATATACAATTCATTCGTGTTTAAAATGTTATCAACTTATATGTTTTGTAAATTAATATTGGTCTACACTCTGCACTGTAATCAATTGTCGCGTTGTAACGGAGCCCGATGAGTATTCAACGCAACATTTGTTTGTCTTTATGCACGATTATTCAAATTCATTGTCATGCGATTGGATTCCACTAACCGATAATATCTCATTTTATGCAACTATGTCAGTATGATAGCTGATTAGTTGTTAGCACTTAGCTGTGATATTTGCGACGTAGCGCCATCTATTGGAATAAACTCACTAAAATTTTAAATTTTCCATTTTTCCGGGCAACTTTTCCAATTTTGCTTTTCGCTATAATCTTATTCGGACAATTAAGAACCTTTTTAAAAAAAAAAGAGCCAAATCGGCCCAGCCGTTCTCAAGTGGTGCGATCAGCAACTAACACCATTTCATTTTTATATAAATAGATTCTAGTCAATTTCATTTAAAAAAGTATAGGACGTGGAAATCATTATGAATAACATTGTATTAATTTATAATTATGTGTTTTGCATTAAGTTTAATTTCGTATAAACCTAATTATTGATATTTAACGTAATTTCACCAGTCTGATTCAATCAATTTAATATTGTATATTAGATAATTATCGATTCGACATTATCCGATATTAAATAAAATGTAGCATCAAATTCAGTATAAAAGTAAAATGTATAATCTATAATAAATTGTGCATTTTTGAAAAAATAGTTAATGGTTATTATTTTTAAATTAATTAATGGGAAAAAATGTTTATAATATAATATAATAAATATATATTATAGACAATAATTTCATAAAATGATAGTTAATTTGTATTACATTAATATAATAAAAACAAACAAGTTTTGACTAAATTTATCTACCAATCTTATAGTGTTAAGTTAGGGCGTTAGGTACAATGTATTATATGTATATTTTATTAGATTAATATTTGTAGTTTTTACTTAGAGCGAACAACATAGTCATAGAAGTTAGAGTATATCAAATCAGCAAAAACGGTATAGATATCAGTAAAGGAACAAACTACAGGTATTATAACTAATTATTACCTGTAATCAATTTGATTACCTGGCTGAATAACAATTTATAATTATATATTATCGCTATATTATTATTATTATTATAATTAAAATACTCCTAAATTATTATCGACCTGAGTCTAAACTCTATAACTAGATATAATGATCTCCAACTAGAAACACGTTAGTATTCTACAATTGATGGTGGCTTTCCTTTAAAACCCAAACCTCTCATTTAATAAACTACTCACGTTAATTACATTTATTAATTAAATAACTACACCATAAAAAAAAATTAGACTATGGGGCAATAAACTTCCTATACCAAATTTTGACTATCTTTTTAACTGGTACACACTTAAAAAAATGTCAATACCATATAATTAACTATACATATATTTGTTTATAAAGAACCAATGAACGGGGGAAACGGTTGATCACATGACTTTCCCTCATTAGCCGTCATTTATTTATATAAATATAGATGAGGGGGCTCACATTGACATATCCTATACAATTGTAATTATTAAATTATTATTAATGCTTTTATTTCCGTTCTATTCATGGAATAGTATTCCATCTTTTGCCTTTGCGTCCACGATAGCGCCTACCATGTTCACGAAGGCTGTCCGTGCTTTATCAGAGGCTTCCACATTAGATGGTCCCTATCCTATGACTACCGTCCGGAAGCTTTTCCACGTTGGGTCCGCACAGCAGATCTTCCTCATCTTCTGGGTTTGGTGGTCTTTTCAAAAGCTGGTGTACTTTTGATTTTTACAATGGACAATTTTTACAGATTTTTAGTTTATAGGTAAATACTAGATTACTTTTAGTTAGAGACTCAATATAATTTTTAGATACCTAGTCTTACAATTACCTCTCAAAATAGAAAAAAAAAATTATGAATAAATACTTTGGTAGTTATTAACATTTCATTAGGTCTGTTAGACCGGTATGGTGGAGTACAGATTAAAATATTTCGTCATATCCTTATCAGTTTTGAAGGGGCGAGGGTGCAGTTTTTAAATATTGGTCCATTAAAGTACGTTTTAAGTACAACTTATGATATATAATATAGACTTGATACACCTTCTCAGCTACACATTAAAGCTAAAAGTAAAAAAGTTACATAAATATACATAAAATATTACATAAATACACAGGTCAAAATTCAGATTTTTATTTACACGACATACCTGTGTATTTATACCCGTGTAATCGTTCTTCATATTTATAATTTAAGAAATTATATGGAAAAATGTTATTTCACAAAAAGCTTGACAATGAGGACGGGGCATGGTGTAGAAAGTATATAAACACATTTTTACGTTTCTTTTCTATTTTAAAAATAATACAAACGATTTACTGACTATAACGCACAAGACCGCTGTTCGGCCTTAGCACTATTATTAATAAACGCTGAAATAACAACTTCGATAAACTTCGAAAAAATAATCAACGATTTTGCCAGCTCGGAATTGCGAAAAAAAAATGTCTAAGTTTTGTTAATTTATCAGTTTTGGTTTTTAACTCAATATTTATATTACAGACAGATATATAGATTATATGTGAGATTATATATATATATAAGTCTGTACTAGATATATCAAAAATATATATACATGGCTAATGTACCTACCTAATATTTTATTAAATTATAATATGTAAATATTTTATGAAAATATTAACACTAAAAAAAAATTATACAGATATTTTATTTTTTTGGTTCTCCTGATAATGTATAAATATGGACGTGGACCGTTGACCGTTTTGCTCTCAGGTACAGAATTATATAACGGTAACATAGGTACATATTATTATAATATAATAAAAAATCTGTGTACTCACTGGTATTTTATAAATCTTTTTTTTATAAAGGGCCTACGGATGGAAGCGAAAACTGGAATATCCTGACTGCCGATTTTTATATTATATTCACCATTATAATATAGGTACCTACAGCAGCGCAGTGACGTAACTGGATGCGGCGTTTCAAGTCTAAAATCTGGATACGCACACAAACATCAGACACAGTTGCATCAGGGGTGAAAGACATTATATTTTCTAAAGGGTATATTTTTTATATGTACATCATAAAATTAGTCAATGACTTATATATATATATATATATATATACCTAGGTTTTAACCTACGGCCTACCTGCACATAGAGCATATAGGTACCGCACTAACCAATATGCACATAATATTATATACATTACATACAGTAAGTATATATATTAAACATTTTATAGATATACTGTGGGCCATTTCCGTTCTCCGGATGTATAATATAATATAATTACAATTACAAAAAGACACTAATAATATTTATGACGTACAATAGTATACTTATAAGTTATACTTAATGTATACATGCGTGTAACGTATTTTTGTGTTGTACGAGTAGGTACACCATGTTTGTGTTATCCCGTATCCAACTGCGAATGAAAAATATTGCAATAATCGCAATAGTGTTTAAATTTACCTAAGCGATAAACACAGCTATACTCATTTATATTTACCCCTATACCATATACATAACGCATTAGTGAGGCGGAAGTCTTTAAGTCGGGGAGACGATTAAACAAACATTGTACTCAAAAATGTAGAAAAAGAATACTTGTTATTAAAATCGGTTTCATGTCGTCCCATTGTTTTCTTAGTCTCTGGCCATTTACAAATATATAGTTATTTTTTTAATAGTAAACCGATATAATCAATAATAATAAAAAGTACCTACCTATACAGACTAAGAAGCATAGTCTTATAGATGGACAACGTTCGTATTTAGATTGACGCCCCTTATTTCGATTTCATAATTGTTTTAAATACAGAAATGGGGGTAAAAGAGTATTAGCGATTGTCACATTAATATTGCCTACCTCTAGTATTATATTTAATCTAAGAGAACAACGTTATGTTTAAATGTATTACCTAACTAGTAACTACAATTTTATATACAGAAATAACTATAAGAGTGTCCATTTATTTACATAACTCAATACTGTATTAACTGACAGATTCTTAATCAAAGCAGCCTGAAACACCTTATAGATCACATGTGTAATCACTTAACACCTACAGTATAGCAAAGAAGTCGATCTATCAAGTATAAATCATTCGCCACTCGGCTGCGACTATCAATAGAATAGATTATAAAATGATAGTACCTATTTTGTAAATTTTTATTTATACTTATAACTGTCTCGGTATCATAAAAGTAATATAGTTATTATTATAAGCATTTAAATGTTTCAACAATATTTCGTCTAAAATTGAACGTAGGTGCACGAATTAAAACATCAAAGAACAAAATAGCGTGTTTTAAATGACCGTTTTACAATATTGTTTAAATAATTAGGTATTAAAGTGTAAAAAGTATGGTGTAAACATAACAATATCAATCTGTTGTACCATTTTTTATTAGTTATGCATTTGTACGTGTTTACAACAATAATATTTACGGTGTCTGCAGAATAATAATTGTTAATCTTTATAAAATAATATGTAAGATAAATATAATTATAATTTATAAAAAATATTAGGTATGTCGAACGCGTATAATTAACTGTGGAATTATTTAGGGTGTTTGGGTACACGTGCCTACAGTAATAATTTTACAATTAATATTAATTGATATTTTCGTCAAGTGATGTCAATAATAATAATATATGATGTATTTAAAGTATAGCTTAGTCGTGATAAGAGGGCTTTGCAATAAGAGAGAGAGAGAGAGATAGAGAAACTGGCATAATAATAATAATATAACGCTGTGTAATGCAATAATCTGACGGGAAACCAGTTTTACATATTATAGTGTACAGTTAACACCTTAAATACACATGTTTGTTATGGCGTTAACGACGGTCCAAAAGTAAACAGCGAGAACGGTCGGATACGGACGGCGACGGCTGCGACCAATGGGCGGCCGCGTTTCCCACATTTGTCACCGCCCAGCCGCCGACGCCCACCGCCCGTATACGGCACGACCGGTCCCCCCACCCGACCGCTGACCATCGTCACCGCGTGCACCAGCACCACCGGCAGCATCATCAGTAGCCCGCGCCATACGCCGCACAGTTAATCGTCGTTGCCCGTACGTCGCACGCCTTCCCTGTTCAAGCCGCACTATTGTAATAACAATATCATTATTATATGTACGTTATTATTATTCCACCATCTAGTACTCGATTGTCGTTATAGTGTGTTTTCGAGCTAAATAAAATACGTTTGACGTACGCTAAATACTGAGGTATAGTTAAATTACCAAAAAACCGCGACGAGAAATAATATTATATATTTTGTTCGAACCGATACAAATGCGAATCGTCGCCAGCCGCGTGTGAACACGAGTTTAAGCGTACGACGCCGCTTCGAGCGCCGCAACACAAACCGTAGAGATCTTTGGTAAAATGATTCAAGTGGCCGCGACGCCGATGATCGTCAAACCAAAAATCGGCTTCTCGATCGAATCAATAGTGGGCGCCGGATCCAGGTCGCCCACCAGGAGCGAAGGGTCCTCGGTGGCGCCGGACGAAAGCGAGGCCTGCAGCTCGGCGGCCGGATCGCCGTTGAACCCGGGCAGCGTCTCGCCGCCTCCGCCGACGTCGCAAACGGCCCGCCGGCATGAATCGCCGCACCGCCATCACCAACAGCAGCAGACCGTGTTCAAGCCGTCCGCGCTGTCGGCCGCCGGTTACGGGTCGGCCGCACAGTTGGCCAAAGGCCTGCAGTACGTCCACGAGCCGCTAACCCCTCCGCCACAGGCCCCGCACCCACACCATCCGTTCGCGTTTGCCGCGGCCGCAGCAGCGGCGGCTGCCGCGCACCACTTTCAACCGAACCCGCACCATCCGCAACACCATCAGGCCACTAGGGACACGTACCCTCTGTACCCGTGGCTTTTGTCCAGGCACGGCAGGATATTTCCTCACCGGTTCCCAGGAGGTAAGACCGCGGTTTAAGCCGATCTATTGACTTTTTAGCCAGTTATTATACATCTATTTCCTTTTTTTTAAATTGTTTTATTACCTATATGGTATACCATATTACACTACACAGTCCGCAGACACATGTAGGCGGAGTTACGCGCATAAAACCTTCACGAAACTTACATGCCGGCTATAAAAATTAATTAACCCGAACCTATAATACAACACAGTATAGCTATAGTAACAAAACTCTTCAAACGATTTATGAACCGAAAATACATGCGGAAAATATTATTGAATAGTCACTTTGTTTTTTATATCATGTGCAATATTTATGAGGTCATCTCAAACGAGCTGCAATAACGTCGGCATGCCAGTATTATTTTTAACTACAGTATATTATACCTAATAATAAAACTTAAACTGAATGTATTTTGAACGTACCGTGTCAAATTAAAATACATTCTTGTACTTAGGGTAACTAAATCTTAACTAGGTTTTTATTTCATATTTGTTCGAATTGCATTAACACAATTTGTCGCAAGTACATTGTTGTTCTATTTAACTTTTCTAAAATAAATAATATCTTCATGTTTCCTCACAGAACATGAGATCGTCGACCCTTTCAGACACCGGCAATAAATTAAAACGTGAATTCTTTAAAACCCAACTGTCAACTGTTGTTCATTACAGAATCGTAATTATTATGTTTTTGTAATACTGACAGCGATTAAGTACTAATTATTTTGTGATCCGTCGCGTTATACATGTGTATGTGGTTATATGTTTTTATTAAAAATTATAATACCCAATAATAATCGTAATTTAATAACCGCGTTTGAGACTATAATAGAAAATCCTGTATATTATAATAACCGGTCAATATCTTTTACTTGGATTTACAATAATAATTATTACGGAGTATGTAATATATATGATTAACAATACGGTGGCATATTCTTAATTCTGACCGACTCGTTTCGAGTTTACACAAGGTCGTTCTGTGTTATAGAAGTACATTTTTTTTTTTTTTGCTTAAACGTATAGGTAATAGTAATACATAATAATCGCGTTGGTGTATAGCGCATTGCGGTAAAAACGCACATTCGACATTTCGGGGGTGTTACACTCGTAATACAATAATAAAAATAACTATTATGTAATATCGAAAGTGACACAATCCACCCCCGGTGTGATGGGCATTTACGCAATGCTCGGACAATACCATAATAGGTATACATGTGTACAAGATGATGCTGGCGATAATGCTAAAGACCCGTTTCGTGTCCCTCAAGGAAACTGGAAAATCATTATTGTATAATAAATATAATAAAAGTAATTCATCCAAACGCACCCAACGCGCGCTTGTCAGTAACGCTAAATACACCGTAGGTAAACAGACGATTTGTTTTTGGGTGTAAGGAAAAAAAAAAGGTATTCAAACATGTTATTATTGAATAGAATATTTACAATAATATGATGCAACGTGCGGCGGTCGGGTCCCGTTCGAATGATATTGCGTTAAGAGAAAATCATTTTTCGGTAAAACCATAAAAATCTCGGTAAGGTCCTTTTTTTGGTTCGCAGCGTGACGTTCCGCCACAATTTGTTCGGCCAATACGTTTACATCTCCCTGTACCTTTTTTTTTTTATTTTATATACATTTTTTTCTTAAAAACACTTTTGCGTAACTGCGTGATCCCGTTATAGGTCTCTTATAGTACTCTAGTATTATTAGCGCACAAAGAAAAAGACTAAGTATCGTTTTTTTTTACCTTTACATAGGTACCTAGTTTACAGTAAACCGAATTGTCCAAAAAGAGCAGATATATCCTAGTTTTGTATAATCACGAAGTTAGTTATATACATATTTTTGAAGTCAAATGTTAAAACTAATAGTATTATACTGTTAACTACTAGGCATTTATAATATTTAAAAGCACCTAGTCTAGCACATAGGGAGAAAACTGTAATTTTTTTTTATATGCATATAGTGGAGGCAGGAGGAATTTTAATTGAAGTAATATCTTATTATGTAAGTGTATGGGTGCTTTTTGGAGGCAATTTAGTGAAATACCTTAGCTAAACAATATATATATTTATATATAAATGGTTAAAATAGAGGCTCAATAAAATGCATAATTGGAATAACTGAATAAACAGTTAAGCCAACTAAATTTATAGTTTTCTAAAGTATTTTGGTTTTTTGTACAGGGGTGGGATAGTTAATTCACGTAAAGTGCTTGCGGTACATGACATCGTCACTTACTTAAATACGGGGTGGTTAGACATTAACGATTAGATTTTTCTTTGAGAATTATTGTTGTTCGAAATTTCCAGGAGGTGGTGTATTTATTATTTTCGTTTTAAACATAACATAAACGGTGAAACGAGGACTTGTTAACTCTTTTGGTTTTATGATATTCAAAAAGACCAACGCCTGCATTCATTTACTATATATATATATATATATATACATAAGTAGTTAGTACACGATTATTCGTTATACTGCGGTATATAATACCGATTATTAACGGGTAGGTACCGGTTATCATCAGCGTACACGCTAAATAGTATACCGTATCATCATCATCGTGTAATGTATATAATAATGACCCTCGACGGTTAGAGCTGTTGGTTACAAATAATAATAATGTATTTATGTAACTATATACAGTATATTCGAGAGCAAATTACAACGACATAATTTTGTATAATTATTGTCCAATATATAATATGAAAACGAGATAATGAGCGTTGTAAAGTTGATACTAATGTAACGCCTTCGTAAAAAAAACAACAACCGTGTTATTTTTTTCCATGTTGTTGTTAGCCGTTTGGCCCTCGAGGTGCCAAATAAAAATAATATAATCTATACTATATTATGCGATCCGGACACGGCTGCTTGTTTGTACCTACTTTTGAGCGAATACCTAACACCGAATATAATTATTAGTGTGCAGTTCGGTTAGGTTGTTATACACTGTTGATACATAATATAGGCCTTGCGTTATAATAGGTCTAACAACTGTTTATTATAAAAATACGATTAGGTTCACTTGTTAAAGAGACTAAGTGCATATTATATTTTCATGTTCACCGAAAACTACACACACACGTGACACGATATACGAATAAGTTCACATGTTTGTAAACTATAACAAAAGCAACGTGGTTAGGCTATTTATTGAAACGCCAGTTATATAATCGAAATCGCTGTAGGGCTATGTAAACGAACGTGTTGATGAGTAAATATATTTTATATTGATTTACCCGACGAAAAAATATATGCATTATGTATACACAATGACTGCAATATATTGCATATAACTACCGTGTATTCGACCGCAACTCCCGTTGAATACCTAATTACTTACCCGATGAATGACCATCGATTCATAGTAATAGAAATTATAAGCACTGTAATAAGAAGAATATGTCATCATGATGTATAAGATATACACGTGGGTTAAAATGTTTATACGTTTCATTCTAAGTCTGTAAATAGACGCTTTAAAAACTATTCAGTTATATTATTGACAACCTATAATTATTGTAATTGCATGTAAAAATAAACAAAATACTTCCCGAAGTCCACAAAGCGTTTATAACAGTGTACTCGGCTTTCCAAACATAAATTTCATGTACCGAAAATTGAATTTCGAGTATTGTATACAACTGTTATAGGACCATATAAATAAGGTACATACAGATATAATATACCGTAGCCGAGAGCGACCATAGTATAGGATATAATATAAGGTGTATCTACACTTGGGGAGGAGAAGGATATAGATATATTATAAAATATAGGTATTAAATATTATGTGATGTAAACGACCGGTGGTGATGCGGCGGACCGTTTTTCATATTTATTATTATTATTAATTGCCGGTATTCGACGCGCGGGCGTGACGGTTAATTAACAGCGATAAATTAGTGTTTAAAAACACAAAAGTAAAATACAAATAAATAATAAAAACGAAAATGTAAATTACCATTGTCAAAACAATACGAGAATATTTATTTATGTAAACAGCTATTCCGCAGGCAATGCGGTGGCGGCGTCCAGATGGCGTTCCAATAGCCGCATACACATAATATGTAATTACTACGTGATGATGATGAGATCTTATCCCATAATGGCGATGACATCTACAGTTGTGGAACTTTTCTTTTGTTTTTTTATCTTATCGAAACAACAGTCATAATTATCAGTAATATAAATACCTACCCGTATAATTTATAAACTATAGCGATAATATATGTCGGAGTCGCCTTTAATTATTAATTACACCGTTTAACATAGAGGATACCTATGTGATATTATGTAATTAATTTTTGTTGTAAATTATGTACTTTGCGAATAGAATAATATACCATGAACTAACATAGCTCATAGCTCGAGGGCTGTGGAAGATCAGTCCGGAGGAGGATGGTCTTACACTGAAGGTATATTAAAAGAGGCGGTACCAATTAATCCGAATTGAGTAAAACAAAAAAAAAACAATGGATAAACGTCTATTTCATCGGACAGCTTCTTATTAGGACCAGATTAAATTACTAGAACAATAATTTATGTACAAGATTTGTATGTATATGTTTATACCTATTATATTCATCTAAATAACCCTGCAATTAACCTAAACCGGACGTGTTTTTTGTCTGAAACAACGACGATAATAATCCGTTGTTTTATTTTTTGTTTTGTTTTGGTTGTATAATTTTCTGAGGCAAGGTGTATATTATAGGTATATACATGTTTAAAATGAGTAGGATAGATTTATTATACAGGCATATTATTAAAACGTCGTGTTGAATTTTCATAAATAGCCAACGAGCAATTGTTAATTACTATGTTCTTAAATATTAACCACTTATCCTCATTACATTAAACGGAAATGTACCTGCTTACTAATCACTATTTTACTCCCGGGGGAAATATCAGTTAAGATCCGCAGCTTGCCCCGGCAGCCAGTATAATAAATATGAAATAAATAAATAAAATAAACAAGGTTTTCTGTTTATTTATTGAAGGTTAACGCACAGGTTGAAGTTATCTGCGTGTTTGAACTATGGACACCTTCAATAACAATACATTATATTGTTTTGTTAACACTGTTAGTATCGATTCTAATAGTATTGATATCGGTAACAAACATTGACACCTTTACCGATAACTTCTTCGAGGTGTGATCGATCATTGTTGTTTAGGGCTTATATACTTTGTTTTATAATCATGTATGACAATGACATACTGAAGATAGGCAACATCCGCATGATTTGGTGTTACTATTATTGTATTTTTCAATTTCCTATAGTAGACCACCGTGATATCTAGATTTAGGGCCGTCTGATATCAAATAGCCGTTTTCAATAATGATAGTTTATGAACGATCATTGTTATACTATATAATATCAACGTGGTATATTAATGTTTAATCTATGACATGTAATGAGTTCACACTAAGCTATACAATTTATTTTATTGTTACCTAGCGCGATTATATCATTTCGCTTATTATTTTATTAACATTTTACCGGCTTACGCCCAATATATATGAAATAAAGTACATGTTAATAATAGTTGCTGAATACAATAAGATATAAGATTGAAAAGATACAATAAATTAGAAATTATGTAAGTAATATACGGCCAAACAATTTATACAAAGATTTTATTTATTATATTATTTAGACTACATCACAGCTTTTATGCTAAAACACCCCCGTTTCTTTTTACTTATCGACCATTTACATTTTACACTGAGCTAATGCAGTGGTTTTGTTGGGATACTATATACTTGATGTGATGCTGATGATCATGATGCGAGTGACTATTTAAAAAAAAGTACAGTAGCCGAAAACAATTGTTCTTGTCGATAACGAGAATTAGGTAGGTCAATGAGAAATTCGGAATGACCGGTGGCTTTGGTAAGAGAATGGTAACCTGGTGGCAGGTGGTGGATACCAGCTATTATTACCAGCAATGATATTATGACTGAACCTAGGTGTAACGAGACAATATTGGAGTCTCGCCTACGCGCTCACGCACGTCGATTACATATTTAACTTATAACAAGATCATTGTCCAATTGTGTATTCTAATGAAGCTGTTAACAGACAGAGAAACGCCGTGAACGAAGGAGGTGAAAAATCATAATGTATAATATTATTGGACTGTGGAACCAACGCTGCCGCCGCCACCACTACCAACACCACTAACTCTGTAATATAATATATTCCAAACGAGTTTCAAAAATAAATTTATTTGACACCGCCGTTGAATATTTTATCACTGCTGGCTTTCAAATTAGAGTGGGTATACACACACAATGATATCGTGGATTTTAGAGACCCCTCGCTGAGATGTACACACGCTGGCGCGTAACGATTATTCTCCTTAAAACCTAACCGACTCTCATATCGTATATTGTATAGGTGTAATGATATTACCTATTATTCCTTAACGTTTATTATAATATGTAATGCGCCCCCCATCATAAATGAAAACAACCATTAGTATAATATAATAATAGTCTAACGCAATCATTTTCGATAATGATAGCATTATTTTTCCTTGGAAAAACGAGCGCGAACCTGATCACCTTTTTTAAACGTTTTACATTTTTATTGTTCTCAGGGCCAGACATACCGGGATTCTTGTTGCAACCCTTCAGAAAACCCAAAAGAATAAGGACGGCGTTTAGTCCCAGTCAACTACTCAAATTAGAACACGCCTTTGAGAAGAACCACTATGTGGTGGGCGCCGAAAGAAAACAGTTGGCGCAGTCGCTAAGCCTGACAGAAACTCAGGTGAGTTATCAGTTTTATAACATTTTATTATATCATATTATTATTATAAGTATACAACAATATATCGGTTGGCCTTCAGACAATGTGTCAAACCCATCTCATTGCGGTTCCCCAAACACAAATAATTACAGATATTAATCATTTTCCACACAAGAAACAATAATATTTTATCCGATTAAAGATAAAATCCTTATACGACCTATCATACTAATTCTTCTTGTATAGGGTATTATGTATTATTTATAAACAGTTCATGTTTCAAAATTATTGGATATAACGTTCAAAAATAATAATAGTTCATATTGAATAATTCAATTCAATTTAAATAAATACTCGCTAAATTACTGTACTTGCATTAATTAAGATCAAAAACAGAAAAATCGTTTCTCATAAAAAAAAAAAGTATTATGTATCTTCCATTGCGATTTTGGTATTAAACCCTATATACTTAGTATAAAATACGTCACATATGTTTATACATACATTTTCTTGGGATAAATAAAAAAATATATATCATTACAGATAATAGAAATTAGGTACTCGACGACTCCTCGCGTGTAATCGGATTCTGTCGGCGTGAGCGTTCGGAGGATTAGATGAATTTTTTTTAATTTTAATTTTGACGTTAAGTTGGTTAGGTCGAGATATAATATAATAATAACACACGTCGGCCGTCACATCACCTTAACGTGTATACAACGAAGTACTAACAACAACGACCCATGCGAATAATATAATTTCTGTTATTTTTTTTTATCTTCCCATTATTATTGGTAGTAGTACTATAAAACATATTACCGTTTGGGAATTGAGCGGGTGTCATGGTGGCGACGAAGAGCGTCATAATAATAATAATAGTATTATATTATTATACGCGTGATAGTTTTCCAGTTAACGTTACGCTATACACGAAAGGATTATACGGGGAATAGGATTAAACGGGTATGTTACCCAAACGCTAATCGTATATACATTATAAATATAAGGGTGAAACGGTTATGATGACTATACGCTCTTCACGCGTTGTCGGCGGCATTAGAAAAAAAATAATTAATAAAAAAACAATTTGATTTTATCCTTTTTAAGTTTTGAAAACAGAATATTATTTAAAAACCCCTCGCAGTACACGATCTAGCTATAGGTCTAGGTCATCATTTAAAACATAATTCTTAATAGTATGATGTATACAATATTGTAATAAAATAAAATAATTATTAAACAATACTATAAAAACTTGAATTGTTGGAATTCTTGCAATGCGTGTCAAACGACCGTTATTGAGACTCAACTTGATTTGTTTTTTTTTATCTTAACTATTCTAATTGGTCACAAAACGTTTGAGAAAATTCACATTAAACGAACGTCATAAAAAAATTAATACATACGTATGTATATAATAAATTGAAACCGTTTAAGCATTATTAAACGTGCGACCGAATTATTAATGATTATTTACATATTAAATAGTGTGATTATTCTATTGAACTGCGCTCTTAAGTGTCTCTAATCTCCGGGTAGTTAACTCTGAAAAATGTCAACACTGTGTGACGATAATATTAAATTATTGTATGCTTAAAATGTTAATAATAATATAAAATATACATATATAATTGAGAAATTTATTAGACTAGGTGGTGGCACGGAATTAACGTCAAATGGCCAAATATCATATTAATTTATGCATGGATGAAAGGGTAATTAAAAAAAAAGAGCAATGTTTAGAGAGGCAATGCAATTATTTGTTTAAACTATTTTTTCGGTAACGCACGGCGCACAACTATAATAAATAAAAACATTAAAAAAGTACTTAATTGAATAACAGTATTAACAATGCACATACTACATAAATATCGAGTTGTCTAGCGTACACTCGAATCGTTTATGTTATAAATGGAGTATAACGAGTTTCGGCAAACATTTATTTTTTGCGCGTTATAGCTTTTTGTTCAATTGTATTATTATACATAATACAGAAATGGTAAAGTATAATGGCCGCTTAGAAAATGTTTTTTAAAAAGGGTGTCGTATCCAATTGGATTGGGCTTATTATTAGTATTGCTGTTATATATAGACGATCCGGTATTATAATAACACTCGTGTAAATTAGTTGTTATTCTTTTTGATCGGGAGGTCTGTCACGGTATTATACTTGTTTGTGTAAAGGGGGCATTTATTTTCGAGTACCCTTCTGGGGACTATAATAATATAAATTCGACCAATCGGCGGTGCGAGCGGTCATGATATTATTATGGAGGGTGTGGTACATGTACTGTAGAAGTTACCCTTCTAGCGATCCGTTTAAGGGGTCCTCGTGTTAGTGTAACATGGCGGTCGTTAACTTTTACATTACACGGGCGGACAAACGGCGTTTTATTAGCAACATCATCATCATCGTTGTCGTCGTAGTCGTCCCCTGTCGCCTATCGCCGCCGTATGATGACTACCATAATTGCGTCAATTTGTAATACGGTTTTTTGTATAATGTCCTCGAAGGGACCAGCATTTCCCTCCAAAAAAAAAAAAAGAAACAAACTCTGAACTACCGAAGAAGAAGAATGGGTCTAGATTTTGGTTACTATAATAATAACCGTTCTTTATAATGTATTTATATGATGTACAATGCAATTAAAAACAATCTAGCGTTGAATCGTAACATTTGTAACACAAAACGGAAACAGAATTCAATGCGCTCCATTCATAGCACGACAATTGTAATATTATTATATTGTATCTGTATGTTTTTTCCTCTTTTTTTTTTATAGGTATTCAATTATAGTATTTCAAAACAAATACTTTTGTCACGTTTTCGATTTGCGATACCCTTTTTTTATGGTAATCTTTTAAAGAGCAAAACCAACAAAAAAAAATGCTATGTAACATTATCATTTAACCTGCTATACTCATACTAAATCTTAATAATCTAGAGCAAATGAATTCACCAGTGTTCTGTGCTGTGAACTTGCATAGCTGTTGAAATGTGAACTTTTGAAAATTATATAATGTTCAGCCGAACAAATACTGCTAATCTCGCTCGTTTGGTCACAGTGTCACACATAGCTGATTTATTTAACAATGGTCTAATTTTAAATACAATTTCTCTTAAAAATATTGACCCAAACAAGCGACTTGAGACTCAACGATTTCAGAACGTTTCATGGCCGCTCGTATTACTTTTATAGTAAATATTATACAAATACTCGTGACTAAAAGGGGGCTGTGTTTTATTTTATGACGATATTGCGCAGCTTAAGCGGTTTTCCTGTCGGACCCATAAGCCCCTACTACTGATATTGTTCTTCCCGTTTTCCGTTGTTGTAAACTCAACGTTGGCGTATAATATAATATAATATAATAATAATATACAAACCATCAACGAGGCATTGTGTTAACAAAACGTTCCCCGGGGGCGACGGCTGGCACCGTTTAATGTAGTGGAAAACTGAGCTTGTTTTTGATAATGAGGGAGAGGGGAGCAGCGCTTATACAATTTCCCCGTGGGAATGGCGGGCGGTAGTGTACATACATACCGGGTATAGTAGCTGTATTATAGCAGACATGAATGATTGCCAACCATCACGGGTCATTTGATTAGAGCCGCTCATCGTTTTATGAGCATCTCCACGCCGTACGCATTGCGCATAGGCAAGAAATCTAGCTCCGTTTTTGGTAACGCACGACGTAGAAATCATAATAGGATTTATATTAATGATAATAATAACAATAATATAAAAGAAAAAAAAAACGATTTCGGACTTGTGTTTTGCATGAACGGAGTCGGTACCTATGTATTATAGCAAAACTTCAAATATCGTACCTACAAGCTCAATGTTATTATTACACATGACAAACTGTATATTGTGTACAAACGTGGACTGTGATATATATATTTATTATTATACAGTATACAACTTATGTCCTTATGTATAACGGAACATATTAAATGCGAAGCGTGCTTCGGGTACTCCCGCCGGTAAAACATTTTCACGTGTAATTGAGGGATGATACGGTTCCAATACTTATATATTCCCCCCCCCCTCACAAGCTCTGCGCAATTGTTCTCTTTTTTTTTTTTTACCAACTGTGATGAAGCGGAAAACATATTATATTTTCTATTATATACTTTTGTGCGTCACAGGCTTTTATTGCCGACGTCCCGACAAATGGCCGCGAATCCGGAGGAAATAAAGCAAAGCGGAATACTACTTGCTCATAGCACAGTATTATGGGGATCAAAATAATATAACGGCTGACATGCATCTGTATTCTCGGGTTTAAATAATATTGTTGATTTAATATTACATGTTCATATATATATATATATATATATATATTCTCGGCTGCGGTTGTCGTTGCTTAAAAACATTGTAATTATAATATTAAACGAGAATAACACAATAATTATAATATTATAGGCCGCGCGCATATCGTTCATATGCACATGGTCTAGTATGTAATAACTATTATTAAACTGCCAGGCGATTTATTCGAAAATTATATGCTATTATTATTACTGTCAAACCTTAACACGGATCGGACGCATGGAAGGTCACCGATCATTTTCGAATATCTTAACACACAATTAACGGTCATTAAACGATTAAGTGCGTTCGTTACAAAGTATTTAATAATATTAATGATTACCATTATAATTTGTATTATTGTTGTTGCTGCGTCGCTTAGGATTTTAATTGTTTACTTATAAAAATATGCGCCATGCTTTTTGTTCTATAATAAAATTTAGTCGTGAATATTTATGTTCGGCCAAGAATTTTATATTGCATAGCACAGCGTGTATGTGTAGTATTCAAATTATAAAAGTAATTAATAGAAGCAGTATGTGTATTAATTAAAATAATAAACTAGAGATTACGCCAATGCACAATATACAAAGCGCGTCTATTAATTAAATGAATTTTTAAAAAAACGATATTGACTGATTAGTTAGTATTTTCAAAGTCGTTGAACATAGAATACTTATATTATTTTACACATCATATTAATATTATAACGTACATCCATTCAAACAGAATATTTTGCCTACTATATAAATATAATAATATACCTATTAAATAACGCAAAACGGTCACCTTATCTCTATATTATACGGTAATTGGGCTTAATTAAATTGATTATATTTATTTAACCTTGCAGTTTGTATGCATGCTGAGTTATCATCGGAGGTATAACAGTATATTATTACAATATAAATATAGAGCATAAAAATATAACGGTTTTCACATAATCGATTTCGATTTTTTTCCTATCAAAGCTTATACCTTCAAAATGTTTTTACAGCAAAAAAGCGTCTTACAGTGGCAAAACAATAATGTAACCGTTTTTTCTACACATGATACGGTTTTGATGCAGTATTAATATTGTATAGGTATACCCTTGCAATGGGGTCGCGTTTACGCGTGTGTTGTCCGGGCAACCCTCTTTATTTCTATATAATAATAATATATAAATATAATAGATAATATTATACGCACAGCAGCTTTCGCCTTACTCTCGCACACGATATTACGGTAGAGCAAATATTATTTTTCAATCGTTCATTTTTTACACATAAATCGGCGGCCATCTTGGTTCGTCTGTTTTACGCGGAAATGAAATCTATATTGTATTATATGTTTTTGCCCAATACGTTTTTTGTCACGTACTGCTGTTTGCTATCATATATCGCAGATTAACCGGCAATCATCAGCCGAGTAAACAACCTGCGGACTTCCATCGCCCTTGGCCCTACCGCGGCTACGGTTTGTTTTTTTTCCAATTCCCATACATACATAATATCCGGGGCAACCTGAGTACACACAAATATTAATTATATAAAGCGCACCCCGCGCGCAATAAAGGGTTTCGCTTTTACCCTCGGCGAGATTAGTCGCGACAAAATAAACGTCGGGTCCGTCCAAGGCTATAACACACATACAGGATATACCTAATACAGATACACGATTTCCAATTAAAAACAAAAATCTCATCGTTTCCCTTCCTTCCGTCAACACCCTCGTAGTATTATATACACATACTTTTTTCGATTAAACGCGACAGTTGTTTTTCGTCGCGTTTAGCAATTTCGTTTTCAAGTTTAATAAAGTATAACGGTGTTATTTTGTGTGCATGTCGATGATGTGTGTGAGAGCCCAACTTGTTATGCGGGAATTATTATTATAATTATCATCATCGTGGTATGTGGTACTATACATATTTAACTATAATTGCCCGCACGGATTATTATGGTTATTATAGGCGTTGTTGTTGTTATAAACACGCTAAACGTCCTTAACGATGAAAACCACTAAATAATAATAATAATTTTATATATTAAGTCGGAAGGTATATGAGGGGTCCAGAGTGATATGATAATATTATGGTACGTTCGAAAATCTTACCGACCAACCTGGTAAACACAAGTTCTAAAACTACGGATTCCTGTGGGTACAATAATAATATGACAACTCGAATAACAAAAACTATACCGTCGAATTATATTATTCACTTTTTCATTGTATAATATAATATTGTATTGTTATAAATAATACAATTAAAGAATTGTGATGAAAGTGACAACTAACGAAGTTCTTAAATCCCCGTACAATTTTGGCTTCCACAAGGCCCAAAATAGTACAAAAAGTTGCTTTGTCCATACGCACATGTGGTCAAATAAGATGTATTTTTTTTTCTGACAATCGGGTTTTTTTTCGGTTACAGGTCAAAGTTTGGTTCCAGAACAGACGCACCAAACACAAACGGATGCAACAAGAGGAGGAAGCTAAAGTCCAACAGTCCGGCGGCAACAACGGCCCTAAAAACAACACTCACCACGTGAACAAGTGGAAACAAGAAACCCAAAACAGTGGAGGGTCCGACAGCGAGATGCATCATTACGGCGACGGTGGATCTCCACAACACCACAGGGACGATGGTCTCCAGCACTACGAAGGGTACAGCTCCGACGCAGACAGCGACGTTTAAGTACGTGGTGTCTTATCAACCACATCGACCCACCCACCCTCCATACCTATATACATATACATTAACATGCCATCCTGTATGATTTTCGCCATGGACCGCCGACTAGACTAGATGCCGTTTATAATATGGTGTGCATATTCGCATATAGTATGGTCACCAAAAAAAAAAAAAACTGTACAGTTACCGACAACCGGGTTACGCATTACCCTAGAAATCACGTGGTTTTTGTGTGATCTTCTTTTGTGACGTGCCCCTATCGTCCTGTGGCGCCATGTGCTCCTCTCATAATCATCGTAAATATTATATATTTTATTAATACTATTATTATTATTATTATTTGTAAATTATTATTATATCGCCGAGGTACGTACGCGTACATGTGCGGGCAAACTGTCTAAATTCTAGTCATTATGTTATTAATATTATTATTATTATTTTGTGTATAAATATTCGTACATGAAAGTATGACGATCAAACAATACTGTACATAAATGTATATAACTAAAATAAATGAATGATTTCTTTTTTTTTTTATGTATAACTTGTGAGTTTTTTTTTATTATTGCTATTATATTTAATATTATTATTATTGTTGTAAAAAAAATATGAAAGACTAAAGATAATATTCTCATTTTAGAACGACTAGAATAATATTATTATTATAAAATTCTACATTACTATAATTATTATTATTATAACTACTATAATTATTATGATTGAAGACGATGGCTTGTGTACGTGAAAATGAAACTAATAATATTTGTACTTTCAAAAATAGATTGCGAAAAAACGTTGAAAATGCAACGTTTAATGTAATTATGTGTTGTTGAACAATATAAAACAATATTGTTGTCATACTCGTTCGATTATAATGAATAAATGAAAATAATAATCGTTAATTTATTTGTTGTGTATTTTTTTTGTTTAATTGTTTCTTTAAATTATTTTAAACACGTATTTGTTTAATCTGTATTCACAATGCGGGAACGGTGTAAGCCGTAAGTTGAATAGCTAAACGATTAACCTAATAAAATGAATTTACATAATACATATCATACGAGTATACAGCAACAAAACCCAACTCGGATTTTAAAATAATAATATCTTATAACAAATACAAACGACCTTAATTTGTTTTGCTAAAAGCATACAAATGTTTGCTACTAAACAGCAAGCTGTAGTACTGAAAGCTGTATAGATTTGTATCATAGTGTTCATATCGTTGGTATAAACTTATAATAAACTTACTCATGTACACATCTACGTTTACTAAACAATGCCATTTTGAATTAGAATAATTGAAGCGGTGAGAATCAAAAGGTTTTAATTAACCGTTCATAGAATCGTACAGGAAAGAAAAATAAATATTATTTATTCAATGTGTTCTTAAAGATTAGGTTAAATAGTTTTCTTCAATATCTCTTTTGAAAATGTATAAAAAATTGTTAAACAAAAACAGGTAGAACAATAATTCATTGGCATAAGCTTTTATTGAAAAATATTGTCACTTATACGTTATTGGTTTTTGCGAATTTAATTATCATTATTTTATTACATTACCTACAAGTAGATTTCTACTACACATTAGGTTTACTATTTCAAGTTCAAAAAAATATACGGAACTTCAAATATGCCATAAATACAAAAATATAAAAGTTAATGCTATTTTATGGTAATAACAATTACGACTACTAACTGCTGTCACATTTTATTAATCGATTCCCAATAGCATTTATCAATAATTTATACGTCGTTTAATACTTATGAATGTTTATAACACATGATATTTTATAAAAACTTCCAAAAAAATATGTACATAATATTAATTATTTAAATGTCTGTAAGAATTCGGTTTTAGCGTACAAAACTAGTTTTTTCTACATACTAGTCTCAGAGACAACTGCGAACGGGTTTTGAGTAATGAAATATGAGAACAAGATTCCATGCGATGGATGAAGGATTATAATAAATTATTATAAGTGGAACAAAATTAATTATTTGCGTAAAATGAACTAATAGCCATCGAAAAAAAACGCGTAATGATTGCGTGACTTGTTGCAATTAATTAATTGATATGTAAGAAGAGGACGTTGTACTCGAGTCTTAAAACAAGATCATGCAAATGGAGTAATCGACCTCCATATTGGTTTCAAACACCTGCAATTACGGAATAGATAAAGAACTCATGCTTTCGTTGTAGATAGAAAAATTTTGGGTTATATCAAGCAAATATAAATATATTTAAAAAATATTAATAAAGTTACTATTTCACTTTTATAAGTACTATATCAATTGACATTTTGTTTAATATAACATATTCTATAAGTTTCCGTTAAATTAAAAAATATATAGATGTATACTTAGTACCTACATTAGGTATAATAAGTAATAATAATTGACGATTTAACAAAATACTTTAGCAATTTGTATTAACAATTTATTAACCATCCGTGCTATGTGTGTATGTTCAATCTATAAAGTGACTACGTCCTAAACCGTCCTTTAAATAAAAAATTAACTTGTAAATAGATTCAGTCTTAGTATGACCATGCATGGTACGTTTTTTTTTTTTGTTATACTAATTTACATAAATATATAATAATAACATTATAATGAGTATTGGTTCGTCTTATAGATACCTAATTAATTAAAAAACATCTTAATAATAAGTTAGTTAATAAGTATTAATTTATAATAAATAAACAACTTATACGGTTCCGGTTCTGCTAAGTAACGTATAATATGATCGCCGCCAAACGATTTTCAACACACTAAATTCTAAAACTATAATGAAGTATAAAAAGTCAGACAAGTATTTATAATAAATATTTATTAATTAGTTAAGCTATTTCTGACGACAACAAAATTTGCCTAGTCCGTACATCGTAAATATCCAACCATTAACTATAAATACAATAGATAGGCACTGGTCGATTTTTTAACTTCGGGTAAATTACAGTGATTTTAGTTTTTTTTTTATTAAAAATAAGAATTTACATTCTGTGTTAATTAAAAACAACAATTAAATTTGTTGATAATTAAATACAGTGACAGAACGACGTGACAGAAGAGAGTGTCCAGTAACACTACTCAACCTAACTCGATTAACTAAAATAAAAAAAATTATCATTAAATTGTTTAAGTTTACTGTTTTTATTTTTTAGTTGTTAAAAAGTAACTAAAAACTTTGTAATGTACGTGCAGCCAACAAACCGCCCAGTTGCCTACCTATCTATTGTTATTATAATCAATGGTCCTACGTAGACAGTGGTACTTGCGTTTATGTGTAGGTATAATATCTATTAGCAGCGTATCAGATACTTACTGCTGGTAAAACCAAAAGAGTAAATAATAATTTCTCTAATGCGGCGTCACATACTGCATATAACTTTTTGTTACCCCCAATTACCTTTTATGACATTTTTATTTTATTTTTTTTAATTACAGGTGGGCGTGGGTCAGATTTGATTGAACCCACTTCCATAAAACACTTTGTGAATATTATACAGATTTTGGTGTATTATATTTTATGTATTGAGCATACACACACGAACTGATCATGGCCATTTTCCCTCAAAGTTAAATTGTTTTGTATTTTTATTACTTTAATCTCTTTTTAAATTTAGAAAAGGGTTATTCTATGATTATCTCGAGCCGCCACTTAGAATGTTACTGCGCATGATACTCGGAATAAGGTTAATCGGAACAGCACAATGATTTAATTGCCATCCATAAAAAAATGACGATAATAAAAATGAAAAGGGCCGTGTAAAAAGCAATAAAAATAAAAGTGACAATGTATTTAATTTTGGATACTATTAACCGCGTCGTTTTCCTAAATGTTATAAGTCACGCGACAGTAAACGGAATTCATAAAAAGTGTTATTAAACGATGGGCTGCATATTCATTCGTGTAAACGTAAAGTAATAAATAATTTCACATAAATAGCAATCGTGTATATTTAAATATTACCATCGTGCCATATTGTAATATTTACAGCGGGTTTTGTCCATATGAAGTTATCAAGATGCGTAATATTATACTAATACTGAATACTCATGTATATCAAGTCAAATTAAATTCTTGATTCATCTATTGTAATTTATTTATTACCATATCGCTGATGTTGAGGTTGTCGATAGTGGCGCACCCTTGAAACATAACAGAAACAGCAAGCTAAAATGTAAGTGCCTATCCCACATTTGATACATACAAGTAACAACCGAGGTGTAGTACTGAGGGCAGAATGGAGGATTGGCAAATGACCACTGAGCCATTCTCCTCGTAAGGTAATAGGACACCGTTTTCCGCCATAAGTCGTATTTTGATTTCCATCAAAAATTATTCAACATTTTTTACCTAATACTTTCTAAGACATTTTTTAGTGCTCTAAATTTAATTTATGTATTTTTTGAATTTATATTTTTGTTATAATCTGAAACTTTAACTACGCTTAACATGTCATTTGCATACAACCATACATACGGTATACCATTTATCTATCACGTTTATAGCATACGATTGTGTAGGTTTAGGTTCTAGAGGTCCTAAAAAAATATTAGTCAACATATTATTTAAATTTATTTCGACAAAAATCAGAACATAACCTTTGACAGAAAAGGGAAACCCCATATTGTGGTCGGTGTGTATTATGTCCACATGCCTGTTCTTTAAGTTTGCTGCCCGTAGTTGGTCCGTTACACTACTTGAATCGTTGTATATTCATTAATTTTTCGTGCAATCCGGCATTAGAAAATGTATCAAATAGCATGAACCTTTTATTTTAGTTTATATCCGATTATTAGCCAAAACATACAATTTGCTTTACCACTACATTTCACTACCAGTTAAGTATAACATACGCGGGCAAAATAATAAGTTTATTTAAAAATATTTTTGGGTATATAGTAAATTTTGTATAAAAGATATTGTGTACAATTCGCATGTAGGAAAATGATGGACGAGAACGTGATATGATTTTTTTCATTCGGTGTGCTCACAAATAAAAATTGTAAATATTATAACGCCAAGTGTACTATCAAAATATTATTTCCTATACACCTTAAGCACCAATAAAGCTATGAATAACTAAAAACGTAATTATACTCTTGTGCGTTTAAAAAGAAAATAACACGGTACGACCGTACATTTAGATCTAGTTTACGAATTCTTTATGTAATAATATTGTGGAAAAGAATAATACCATAAATCCTATGTTATTGAAAGAATCACGATCGGCATGTGTTCGTGCGAGAAAGAGAAGAAAAACCGGGAAGATAAAAATAATGTTAGTATTAAGCGTATAATTTATCAATTTTATTGGTCGGATTATTATGCTAATGACACGTTGAAATCGCTCAATATTACTGGAAAGTATATAATTTCCCATCTATATCTAACTGCGCTGCCTGTATCCGTATGTATAAATGTATAAACGTGCTTTTGCCGCTTCTGCTGCCGGTGCGGTAGTATAATCTTATGTGTCTGTTTTTGTATGTATGTATAGATGGTTCTTCTATATAATTTCCTTTTATGGTAGCTAAGCACATAACACGAACCAGCCATAACATTACAGCGATGAACGTACATAACTCAGAGCTGCCGCTTTTCGACCCATTGGCCGGACAGTGACGATTGAACGTTATCATCATCAAATAATTGTTATCGTTATCATCATTCATCATCAAGATAACACAACGTTAAAATGAAAATAAACAAATGACTGGATAAATAAATACATTTCCATAACAATTTCAAAAACGGTCATGGTGTATTGGATGTTTAGATATAGGCGCTGTCCTTCGTGAAAATAGGTGTACAAAAGTTGGTAATATAATAATTGTTTTCATAATTTATTATGTAAGATAATAGAAAATATTTTAATTTTGTTAAGGATTA